CCGAAGCTTGAGCCTTGGGATGCGTTGGGGAAAGATGGGTACGAACGGGGTTGCCGGCCCCGCAGTTGAGTGCAAAGCCGTCAACCCAAAACTTACCCTGAGCACGCCACCATCATCTTCAATATGCGGCAATTGCAAGGTGCCTCAACACCGCGGCCCGGCGTCAGTGCCATATATTGACATTGACAGCGGCGAATAGGTTTCGCTTCCTGCTGCACTTGCGTCGGCCAGTGCGTTCCGTTTGGGGGTTTGCGCTTGGCTGGTCCGTCTGTGTTTGCAGATTGGACCTCCAAGCTGCAACGGGAATGTCGTGCTGCCAGCCAGAAATGGAAGCAATCGTGATAATGCACCCGGCTGCTTGGGAGGTGGGCAGGAAGCAGGTGTCTGCTTCGTTGTGGGTCCCGGATTAGGGCTGGTTCAGCAGCGGCAAGCGGCTCACACACACGCACACACACACACACGCACACGCATTCCCCCGCCGACGCCGCGACGGCATGACCCGCCACCAACTCGCAACGGTCACATCAAGCGCTCCGCACACCCAATCATGACAGGGGCTGTCCGTTTGCGGCAACCTTCATACAACATTGCTGACAAAAACATCAAGTCAAACGCGACCTGGACGTCGCCCGTAATCCACCGCAGGGTGAAAGTGGCAACTGTGCCGTGACCAAACAATTCTGCCGCTCTGTGTCCGAAATGGACGGGGTCGTTGCCGCATGGAAATCATGCATCGAAGCCATCAGGGGGCGACCAAACGACCAGACGAGTCAATGCAACACAACGTAACACAATTTATGCCAGGCACTGAATACGACGAGAGACGACCGAAATCGTCGTTGGCAGCGCAGCAGGCGGGTTGTCGCCGTTGCACTTGTTTACAGCACGCCACTTGTCGGGCAAGCACTGCGTGAGCATGTGAACCTCGATGCGCCTGTTGCCCACGCATGCCGTTACGCACTGATGCAAACGATTTTCTGCCGTGACATCGATCGCAGATAGATGATCCAAGCTCAAGGTGACGACACCATCATCGTCTCGCACGCAAAACTGGGCGCAGCGATGGCGTTCAGCGAGCAAGGCAGACTTGAAGCAGTGCCCGCGCGCCTCCGCCGCTACTCTGGCGGGTGGGCTCGCAGTATGGGCGCAGAAAGCGTATTGTAGGCAGAGCCTCCGAGAATGCCCCTGCGGCCGAGCGCTGAGGGTTCGCATGCGCCCAATCTTGCTACAAACTCATGCGAAGCTCAAAGCGAGTGCGAAAGTGTTTAATTGGGACAGGAAACGCTTTGTTCATGCGCAATGCCCCCAGTTTTCGCTGCTAGCTCCCACCTCCATGCCCATATGGTGACCCGCAGCATGTGCAGTCGCTCCCCGGCTTCCTGGTCGCAAGCCGCCAGCGCTTCCCAGGTTCTTCGTGTGCTTCAGGGTTCTCTCGAAGTGTGGAGCTCAAACTCCGTGGTTTCGGTGTGAGCCTTCTGATGGAGCTTTGGACTGCACGTTTGAAGTTCGTGGGGACGGCAGCCCCCGCGCTGTGGGTGTTTCGTCGGCTGCGACTGGGGTCAGCCGAAGAGCAAACCAGAACGTGGCTCGAGGATCAATGTGGATCTGAAGACGCCGGCCACACGTGCTAGAGGCAAGAGCAGGGAGTAGCTTCTGTCTCTCATGAGTGTGCAAGTAACCAACAATGGAGCACACCTTCGTTTCGCCATGGCAAGCAGCGGCATTCTGTAAATCGATCCAACACACGGGAAGCTACCAAAGCTGCCAGCCTGAAAGTCATCAGGCAGAAGCTATGCTGCTAAGCCGTGCCATGTAAATAATGACTTCATGCGGCCTTCATGCTTCGCTTCGTAGTTGTACATGATTCCGTCTGACTGGCAGCTGTTCACAAAGCGTTTTGCCTGCCGGTGGTGAGACAATGGCACAGGCCTCCGGTTCGAGCCTCACGACAGAGGGCTTTCATCAGCTCCGTCGTATGTCCTGGGGCACACTTCTGGCACGACAGTGGTCCAGAGCCGACAACATGAGACTCTGCTGGCAGGGCAGCAAGCCTCACTTTCTGAAACCAAGATTCAGGTAGAAAAGATCGGCCGGCAAGTTGCGACCTGAGCTGCAATCAGGAGTAGAGCAAACATCCGATGATCTGCATCAATCACTCGCTCACGTTCGCTTGTTCCTCCGGAAACCATCAGCAGAGGACCACACACCGGCCCAGCTCATCTGCAAACATCTGTGTTCTGGTGCATTCAAAGACGGTTGATCACCCCATCGGAGATTCTACCGGCAATCAATCAAGCTCAGAAGTGCAGTTGTCATTGCCCACGGTTTTGCGTAGCATTTCAAGCAACACCGAGACTGCAACGTGTGGCAAACTCCGTCCAGGATGACAGCCAGGAGCGACAGTGCCAAACAAGCGAGATCATCCCTTGCTCGCCGTGCTGCTCCTGGCGCACCACACGCGCTCTTCCCCTCTTCCCCTAAGACCCTGCCTAAAGCCCTAAACCGGGACAGCCGCCTCGACCTCCGTGGAGTCTCGACGCGTGAAAGCCAGAGATCCCAGAGAGAGGCTGGTGTCCTGGTGACCGGCAGTGGGCGTTCAGTTCTTCACGAAAGTGGTCCACAACCCCCTTGAGTGTTGATCCCCGCAACCGGGCTCAGGGCTTAGTGTTTATTAGGGTTTAGGGTTTTCAATGCCCCAACTAACCCGCAGGGGTCCTCTGACGGGAAGCGACCCGCCTTATCGACCTTGGGCTGCCCCACCCTCTGCCAATGCATCTCCTTAGCTCCGCGCACAGCGGCTTCACAGCGGCTTCAGGGTTCAGGGTTCAGGGTAGAGTTTCGGCGAGGTTGGGCGCAGGGGAACAGGCACAAACCTGTCCAGGGATTCAGAAGAAAATGAGACAAAGCTGACGAACATGAGCTTCTTCGTGCGATTGTGGCCTACTCTCAGAGTGCGAGCAGTCTGCCAAGTCCGCCTGAAGCTTCCCGAAGATAGAATCCAGGCACCTCAGGTTGTTGTGAGAGGCTTGATCCTTTTCCTTCAACACCTAATCTGTGTTTGCTTTCTGAACATCGAAGAGACCTGACAACATGTTTTAAGAAGAGGATGGCAAACAGCTTCGTGAACGGTGATGCAGCAGGAGCTCGAGCGAGGCTTGCAGAGTGGTTTTCACCGGCGTGTTCGACCGCTCTCCGAGTTCCAGAACCAGTCGCGAAAACTCAAACGAGGTTATCAGACAGACCAGAGTCAAATGTGCCTAAATGCAACAAGTCGACCTGTCCATGAAGTTCTTCTCCTTCTTGGAAAACCGCAGAAGCCTTGGCCCAAGTCACAGGCCATGGCCATCACTCCGAACGTACGAGTAGTTGCAATCAAGAAGCTCGAACTTGTCATTGTGCAGTGAGCTGGCCTCACCCATGCCGAAGCAAAAATCTTGTGCCCAAAACTCGGAAGCAACTCCATCGAACAAGGAGCTCTCATGCAACACAGGGAAACACCAATACAAAACACTGTACATCCCAGCACAAATCACTGCCGCACCCATGCTGCTGCCGGTGGATTCCGAGAATTCAAGCTCAGACTGTCCACTTCTGCCTTGGCCCAAGAGCTCCAGAGCCACACAACCAAGGCGGCTGCGACCAGCAAGGCCGAAAACCACCTCACTGGGGCCGGCAAGGCTTGAGGATGAACTCGCAGGGTTTGATGGGGGCTGGGAGTCGCACGGCCGGCACTCCGAGAATGCTACTAGAAAACTGTCCTCTGGAACATTCTCTGCTTCTTGGTGATCATCACCACATTTACGATGTTGCAGTACTGCTCCTTCTCTGTTTGCATCTGGTTCCTCCACCAAACCGCGTCACACCGCGACGACGACAAGTAAGAATCAGTGATTTCGAAGAAGAATCACCCCCTTCTGCCGCTTGGTGAAATGCAGCAGTGATGCTCGACGGCCTTCAGCGGCACGGGGGCTGTCCACCGGTCCTGGATCTAACAAAAGCATTAGAATCGTGGGAGCATAGCCTAATGACCTGTTGCACATGTGTCTGGTATAGTTGCTAGACTCACCAGCATTCAAGAAAGCGAGCAAACGGTTCTCAAACAGTCACCAAGTATGTTGTTCGGACTGTCGCAGCAACTATGTACAAGATTCTAGAAACATGCGATGAGAAAAACCTTGGTTGTTGCACACGCCGCATCAATGCCGGCGGTACCTGCCCATAGTCGTGGAAGTGCATGCACGGCGGTAAATACGCAGCCTCATCTTCCAAACTATGATCAAGGACCCGAAGCCTCCTTTCCTGCACTGCCGAGCCCACACCGCCGAAAGCTACTGAACTCTCATCCAGTCCTCGAAAAAAGTGCGTGCGGTGAAGTGCAGCGAGCTGCCGATTACCAGCCAGAGCCCGGCGACAATCATGCCTGGGACAATAGGGAGATTTGTCTTTTTGTGGTGTTTCCGGTCCTTCTCACAACGTTGGAAGGCATGAGCCTGAGCCGACATGCCAGAGAAGGTGCCACTTGCCTCCTTCTCACTGATGGAAGAGAGAGAGAGAGAGACGGAGATTACTTGAGATCGTGCAGCCGTGGCACGCATAATGAACAGGACCCGGGGAATGAAGAGGCCCTGGGATCGCAGGCAAGCTGAACCGAACGCCTCTGCATCTCGCTACCCAGACTTGCTCATGGCAATGTGGCAGCGCGAAGCCAGTCTCTGCAAAGGTTGAATTTTCGCTCTCGGTAAGCCCTGGAATTCTTAGTCTTCGGCCCTCGGAACATTTAGCAGGGGTGTAAACTGCGGAATTATCCGTCACATCCCAGAGCCTGTGCTGCACCGACAGCTACTGCACGAAGCGATCTGACATGTCGGAAAGCCACGAGAGATGCAGCGTTGCACATGGATACCTGTACATAGACGGATGGACGGTTCAGTATTCCATGTTGACAGAATCGCACTCCTGTGACGCCGCGGACTCCAGAGAGCCATCGCCGTGCCCACGTTTTATCAGGACGCTTGCATCTGTCTGCATGATCTCCTCAACGCTGAAGCCGTCACTGCCCTGTGAACTCGCCAAAAGCCTTTATCATCGACGGGCCGAAACTGTTTCCATCACGGTGCCGCCGCACTGAATAGTTGCAGTTCAAGTTCAGGCCTGCGAACTTGAAGTGCTTCGCCTCTTTGGGAGCTTGCCGTGCTGCCACCGCAATGGTAATTGCCACGTTTGGGTACCCTGTAGCCGAGCGTGTCTCGATCAGCTTGCCACCGCGATCCCTAAGCAAGCCCATGTGTCGCTCTTCACCCACTGCTGGCTCTGTCCCTGGAGGCGTTCATCGCAAATGCCAAGTACTTGAGAACCCTGTTGATGTCATCGCTGCTGACCGCGCGCCGCTTCTTCTCTGCTTGAGCCATGATCCCCCCCCTCGCCGCGCAGTTGGCGACCGAACGGTGTGCTCTCACCCACACGGAGTCATTGCACCGCAGCCCTTCTCCAATTGCAACTGCCACTTTTCGAGGTTGCATTGTCTGCAAAGCTCCCGCATTGACATCGGCAGCACCGTTTGCTGGCATCCGGGCTGCCACAGTTGGCACACGTTCCTGTGAGCCAAGGCCAGGAAGAAAGAAGCTGCCGGGGTTGAAGGTCTGTGGCATTTCGTAACAGGACAAAATCTCGGCAGCCATCCGCTCCCGCCTGCTAGAATCGACGGGGCATGGTCGTACCATGCTAGCCGCTTGCATTCACTTGCACTGCTGAGCATTCCAAAAACTTCAGTACAGTTATATATAAAATACTTTAATTGGGGGTTTAAGTATTTGTAACTATATAGTTACCCTACTAATAACCCTAGTTACTAAGTCCAACGATCCTTTACGTAGCAAGTAAGATGCAATCCTTGCACTCCTACGACTGTCGTAGACTTGTTGAGTCCAGTGCCCCGGCCTGGCTCTCAGGGCCACAGAGGAATCCCCGCACGGAAAGAATGTGCTTGTCGATTCCTGGGCGTTAAGCTCCGGATGCGACACTCCTGCAAGCGCTAGGATGTTCTCTTCCAGACCTCTGACTCCGTCTTTCAACTCACCTTGCTACTGAAGGACTGTACTTCATCGCGAAGAACAGGGCACCACAGGGTAGCAGCGAGGGCATGAGCACGCCGAGGTTCACGGCCTTGTAAATCACCAGTGAGCAGCGAAAAACCGGTCAGCTAGGCAGGACCATGTTCGACGAGATGTTTCAAACTCTGACCTCGAGCGCTTTTGTCGACAGTGAGCTTGTGCTCAGCTAGAGTCAGCTAGAGTGCACATAGAGTGCACAACATCTATGAATTGTCTGTTTCTCCTGGCCTCCCACCCCCAGCTGTCTGCCAGTGAGATACGGATTACAGATTATCAGGTTAGCACCGGCCCTACCGCGTTCAACTCCTGCCTGAATTTTAAGTTTGTATATACGACATCTAGTGACTAGTGCCGGGCGGACCGATGAATTAACAGACTCACCAATACACTTTGCCAAGCGGCTGTGGTAAGAATGGCAAGGGTGAAGGCATACCAGTATCCCCAAGCAAAGATCCACGGTTCGGGTTGCGACAGCAGCCATCGGACAACAAGCTGACTGAGATTCCTTGGGCGAGGTTCTTGCAGCACACGGAGTCACAGGCCCACAGCACATCCGAGATTCAGTAAACTGTTGGTGTTGGTCAGGAAGGTGCAGTTCAGCAAGTAGCGCACCTTGGGCAGAGCGCTCTGGTGAACATCAGAAGCTGACCAGCGGTCTGAGCCGAAAGAGGGTCACGGGTTGAAAACAGCATACAGGGCAAGATGCATAGAAGAGGCCAGGTGAACTGAACATGCTTCCGTCCAGCAGCTGCAGCACCGAGATGTCCTGGTCTGAGAGAGGAGTCTAGCGTCTGGCTTCTGCAGACTCTCGAAGTTGAGACAGACATTGCCTCCCGCCCTCCTTCAGTCCTGTGTGTGATCCGCAAGCTTCACCTCCAGAAACTCCAGAAGAGCCGGGATACCGGTGAGGCCGAGCAATGGGATCAGCAGCTGATTCAAAACCTGGTGTATCCGCCCATGGCTTGCATGCGGAATACTGCGCATGCTCGCATTGCTCGCGAATCCCGGCTCCAATGACATCAGCCCAAGCACGAGAAACACGTAGTTCATCAGCCTTGGCAGATGTCTTCGCTCTGAGAAAGAAGACTCCTAGAGCTGCGGGCTCCGGATTTTCTTGGCCCTGGCATAGCTGTGCAGCCGAGCGACAGCTGGTTCACCTCCACCTGCGAGAAGTCCAAAGATGCCGTTGTGAAGTGACCATGAAATGTGTAACAGGCTAGCTGGAGCCTTGGACAGAGTGTGGCTCCGAGTGAAGCGACCTTGTTTTGGCAGATCGCATACGTAGGTAACAAGGTGCAGGTTCGGCCAGCTGCAACCCGATGCTGGAGCACAATTCCAGCCGAGGGGCAAATCTCGCCGATAATCAAAGGAAGCAGCAAGGAGTTGATGAGCAGAATTATCTCGGCCAAACGACTTGGCAAATCCCGCTGATGCATCTCTGTCGGCAGTGAATCTACCGACCCCAGCGATATGATATGGAAAGGAAGACAGGAAAAGTGGCAAGGCTTCGGACGGGCGGCCATGGTTGGCAGCTGCATCGACATCCAGCGCCAAACGCCGCCCCTGTCCTGCATCTTCGCATCAGAAGGAACGGCACCGAAAGATGCGATAGGATCAGAACTCGAAAGAACTCTCTGTCGCAGCTGATATTGGGGTGGGGATGGATGTCCGGAAGGAATACACCAAGGCGTTGCTCCACCTCGGCACAAAAGGCTGCGGTGCAGCTCACAGCAGCTCGGCCGAAGGGGGGCCATGCCCGCCGGTTACCACTGGATTGCAGCAGAAAGTCGGCGTGACGGAGAACGTGGGAGCCTTTCCGAAGCTCCTTGGACATGGAACCGACATCCAGCACCGCTGTCTGCAAGAGGCTCCAACACACCCTCCAGAGGTCTCTCGGAAGGAAGCAAGATTTTTTGGGTCTGTGGGCCGGGATGATGGTGTTCAGCTCCGAAGAAACAGACCTTTGCTCGCAGCGAAGAGGAGGAAACTGGCATGAATCAAGCGCAGCTCCTAGCCTGTCATGCTTGCGAGCACCAAAGCTTCCAAGTGGCACGGGCGTGACGACAACTAGCATGAACACCAGAAGCAGCAAGGTAGCGCTTGTCAACCGCAGACCCCTGACATGCTTCCAGCTGTGAGTGAGACCACATCAACCCAGTGGTGCGTCTACTTCAAGCAAGTATGACGCCGCTGATCTACAGCCGGAAGTGGCTACAGGTTGCACGAATGTCAAACTGAGAAAGAGCCTCTTGTAGTAGGGGATATGCAAGTTCTCCCAAAGCACGTCGGCTGGATGGGGTGCCCGCCGACACCTGAGCACGCAGCATCAGTTTCAAGCGGACGGGTGTTGCCGGGTTGCGCGAGAGAGACACATCGCCTCAACGTAACAGAAGAGAAAGGCGGCTGGCCGAAGTTGAAATAGGCGTAGGAATGGAACCTGACGCCGTTTTTGGCAGGATCGAAGGCGGCCAACTCGATTGCAGCCGGGGAGCTTCCAGCAGGAAGGTATGTCTTCAAGCAAAGTCGCTTTGTACTTGCGCTCCTGCCGGGATGACTTTGCCCACTGCAGTTACTGCTGCTACTACTGCTGCTTCTGCTACCGCCGCCGCCGCCACTGCCACTGTCACTGCTACCACTACTACCACTACGACTACGCCTACGCCTGCGCATATGCCTGCGACTACAACTACGACTACGACGACCAACTACAACAGCGACTGCGACTGCTAGTATTACTGCTACTGCTAATACTACTACCACGACTGCTACTCCTACTAGGACTACTATATACTACTTCTACTACTACTTCTTCTTCTATCTGAAGCATCAGGCGCAAGTCGACGAAGACCCTGGGCGAGAAACTCCGTTTCGAGCCATAGAGCTGGCCCTTCCGGCCTGGAAGGTTACAAAGGCACCTCGGCGTCACGAACAAGGTTTAGGGTGGAGGGTTTAGGGTTTAGGGACTCGCAAGGGGGGTCTTGCAAAACCAGAGTGTCGCTCCTCTCGAAATGGGCCACGCAAGTTCTTCCCACCGCTCTTTCAACGCAGCTGGGCCACTGCCACTCATTCGCTTGGCAGACAGCTCCATGTCGTCCAGCTCGTGCTTCAGATCTTGTGTCTGCCCGCAACTTGGGTCCACTCATGTGGGTAGTTGTCAAAATTATGGAACCCTTCTAGGCCTCAGAAAAAAAGGTTCAGGGAGGGGCTCCAGGAGCCTTCTGAAGACATGAAACTATGAGCAGGCTAGGGCTTAGAGATGTTTCGGGCACACAGCCTGAATGCTTCAAGGAAGACGGAACATCAACGGAAAGAACAAAGACAGCTTGCTTGGGGACCTGCGGTAGTTACAGCCTCACGGGGGCAGCCTTTGAGAAAAGGGTCAACCGCCTGTTTGATTGCGCCATGTTCTTAGTTCAGAGTGCAGAGATCTCTGCAAAGTGCCAGGATGCCACCTTCCGCTCAAGCCGTCGGACTTGTCTAGATAACCACCATATCCGGAGACGTGGAGAGCACCTGGAAATGCCAACCATGCGAAGTTATTTTCTTAAAAAACAATGCCAGCAATCCCAAAAGTGTCATGAAGGATGCCTTGTGATGGAACAAGGAAGGCTTGGCACAAACCGAACACTCTGCCCAACTGCCATTGGCAGGTACTCGTGAAACCACGATGACTGGTGTCGATCTAAAGCAGACAGTAAGGGCAGACGTCCGAATCTACTTGCAAAAGCCACGGCCATGCCACGTCGGGAGTCTCAACCATCATCTCAAAGGGCACTTACCGACGAGTTGATGACTCCAAACTCGACGGCCCGACCGGCAGAGACAGCCGTGCTGGTGCAGCTCCGCCTGCCACCACAGAAAAGCAAAACTCGGGACGCAGAGCTTGAAACACGTCGAGGCAACCAACATGCAAGGGGTATGTGGCAAGTGGTTACCAGTGGACTTGTACGAAGGATACTGCAGGCTGCGAGGGAGGGTGTTTTGAGCAAGCCGCTGTGTAACGAGTCCTGGGCCTCTGCCTCTTCTGATAATGATGCCGATGACGCTGACGATGACCACGATGATGCGATTACGATGCTGCTGCTGCTGCTGCTGCTGCTGCTGCTGCTGCTGCTGCTGCTGCTGCTGCTGCTGCTGGGTGTTAAGACTTGCTGCCTCATCAACATCGTGATCACTACTTTACTAACCACAACATTCATCTGGAAGTCTCAACTGCCGTCTTCATTTGCCTGATAAGACGATGCAGTGAGCACTTGAGGCTTCCTCGCCAATCCTGTGGCAAAACCCCTGAGATCTGGCTGCAGCCCTTGTCGAAGAAGCAAGAATGCGCTGACCCAAAGATTCGTGCCATGATGTGCCATGGCTTCACGGGTATCCGAGCCCATGCTCGCCACCTACACTTCCCTGCGGCGCCTGAAGAGTACTCAGCTGATCTCGCTTCATCTTCAACCTTCCGAAAGCGCAGGCGAAGCTGCGAGTGCACTCGTCATCTACAGCACGCATCAGCAGTTCAACTCCCAAAAGCATGGAAGAACGGAGCAGAGTGTGAGGACCTGGCTTTCCCCAATTAGCTGACAGAGACACAACAGAGCTGACGAGAATTCCTGCCGAGATCAAGACCGATGACTCGTGACCAACCACATGAACCTTCTATTACTATTATTATTATTTTTATTATTATTATTATTATTACTACTACTATTATTACTATTACTACTACTATCCTTATTACTAACCCTCTTATTAGTATTACTATTGTTATTGCTACTATTATTCGCCCACCTGGCGAAAGTCTCCTTCTGTCGGGAGTCGAGGTCGTACCACTTGTCCACCACGAAGGGCACGTGCACACGGAAAACTTCAGGGCAGGGAAGTCAATGGAGGACGTGTCTGGACTGATCAAACAAGCACCCCAAATCCCGGCCTGCTGTCTTCGCTTTGTCTTCACTGATTTGGAGCTTCTCACGGATATGCTCCTGATCCCATGCATGCTCGACCAGCCGCTGTACATGCATCAGCCATGCATGCGAGCATTGCTGCACATACACAAACTAAATTTTAAACCTTGAGGAACCAACAGAACAGACATACACTTCTTCTACATGCAACCTATACGAACAAATCTACTTACATACACACATGTGCACGCCAACGATGTGCCGTTGTACTCTAGCTTGGATGCTGGACTGCTGTGGTTCCAGGTAAAGCTTGCTGAGTAGAACTCAACGGACGAAAATGTTTACATAACATGTACGTACGCATATGGAAGAAATCAGATTCGATGGTTTCACTGTGTGGTAATACCAAACTCAGACAACTGCTGACCCTCACCCAGGGTCAGCCAAAAGACTCGGTTCTTTCAATCTGATCAGGATCTAGGTGCTCAGATTGGAACAACTGTGCGGACCAAGTACAGAAAAGAAATTTGAAATGGATGCGTGCACAGCGAGGATATCATGGTGAACAAATTGCACAGCTTGTGCGGGTCAGCTGGTCAATCGGTCAGAGGGAGGCAGTGTGTCAAACCTTGTCCCCGATCGCTTCCCACCTCTTGCAACAGTTTCGTTGCGTGCAGCAGGCCAAAGGTGCTCCACGGCCCTGCACTTAATGACTTAATGTTACGAAGAACGACAGGTCCTGGTCGTGATGTTTGTTGGAATTTCGGGTGTCACATATACACACACGATCAGCCTATGTATAAAGAGCGAAATGCACACATACCTTTGTTTGTTCACACATGTAACGCATGTACATGAATGCACAAACACACACACGAAGTGGAATCTCCTGCTCACTCGATTCGCCTGCAACCTGTTGAAACCAAGCCTTTTCTTTACGTGTCTTGTTGGAAGCAAACATCCAACAGCCCACCGCAACCCAGCAGCACCTCAATCGCACGAGTGAGGGACTGCTCGACCATGTGAAACTCCTGCCCAGTAGCAGAGACTGCTTCAAAATCGAGGCTTGCCGACGCTGGGACCTTGCCTGATCGGTGAGCGAGAAGGGCAATCCGGTCAAATTGTCGCCCACCGGAAGATGGGTCAACCAAACCGTACGGTCGAGAAGAGGCATCGTCCTTGGCAAGCGACGCGTGCAACCGGCTCTCGGAGCTGTTCCAGACACCATCCTGGGGTCCCGGCCGAGGATGCATAGCCGACCGTACACGCATGTGCACCTCAGTATACGTTTGCTTTCTCACCTCTTCTTACTCACCGGGAGCCTCAAGACAACAATGGGCGAGCCATCGCCTGCAGGTCCCCGCTGGTGATTGTGGATCACGAAGCAGAATATCATTTATGACTTCTGACAGCAAAGACACTCAGGTGTTCAGCAGAAGCAAGAGCTCGTGGCATTGCACCATGCAAACTGCAGCAGCAAACTCTGCTTTGGAACCAATTGACAAAGATCCTTTATTGGACGAGGCCTCCGCAAACACACTACCGTTGATGATATAAATCCTGCATTACCCATAGTCAGGAATATACCATAATTCCCATAGTGTAGGGTCATTAAGGTAATGCAGGATTTATATTATCAACCGTAACACTCTGACAAGAGAAGATTCTGACATGGCCGACCCTTGCAGCGACAAACATGACCGAAGACATGTGCTGCCTTGGCCAAATGCCTTGGATCAGCTGCAAGCCAGGATTGTACGGTAAGCAAACACAACCGTAACGAGGGCCATGTGCCCTATCCACTTCGGCAGGGCCCGGCACAAAGTTAGCACGGGCATCGTGGCAATCAGCGCCCGCCGCTTTTTCGCAATGGACGCCCTGCTGCTGTGTTGGAGTAGCATAGGCATCGTGAAGAAGAGTAGAAGGCCACAGCTCAAGGCAACTGCACACTGTACATGGGCAATAAGCACCATAGACCCTCTCCTGCTAAACGTGTGAAACTGGGAAGCTTACCTGCCAGGCCGCTACGCTCTGACGGTGACCTGGCGCCCATCCAGCTTGAACTGAAAGTTGGGAAAGCCAACCAGAGCAGAGCCAATCAACAAAGGGCTCTGATCCTGGGGCATTTTTGGTCTAGTCAAGGAGTGGAAGCTGGCCCACTTGCTGCGGTGATGATGGGCCTCTGGCTTCAGGTTGGTCGGATACATGCCCCCAGCCAAAGGCCAGTCACTGCTGTTAGGGGAAAGCCGAGCACCCTTGAGGATCATGAACCAGATCTTGTTCACCTGCACAAAGCCGTGCACGGCTGCAGTGGCCGGAAGACCCCAGGATGTGTCAAATCTGGCCGTGGATTGCTCATCCGTGCGCGGTTGCTGCGGCAGCTCGTACTTTCGATGGAACACATTGACGGCGAACTTGCTGTGAAGAAGGTCTGTCTCCGTCTCCAAGCGAGTGATGTATCCAGGCACAAAGTTCCGAATGTCTACCTCCACCCTGGACTCGCGCTCTGTCACATGCTGAATGAAACCATCCAAGGTCTCGAGCTGACACCGTTCGGCCAATGAGGATCCTTTCTTCTTCGCTTCCTTTGGAGCTGCGGTTAGGATCTTGGTGAACAGCTGCTGCGCACTGGGGTATCCTGCAGCTTCGCCTGCATGCCGGACAGGTAGGTTCACCGTCTTCACATTGAGGTCGTGCTCGCAGGCCAGCGTGGAGACAGGCTCTCCAAAAAGCTGCATCCACTCAGCTTCCTTTGCTGCAAGCTTGCGCTGCTCGGCCTCAGACAGCTCCACGGGCTTTTCGACCAGGTCCTCCGGCGTGACCCTGACCTGGCAAACTTCCATCAAGGTTCCCTTTGCCCTATTCCGTGGCCAAACAGCCTCGTGGACCTCGCTCTCCTGGCCACTTCGTCGGACAATGAGCTTGAATGGAACATCCGCCCCGTCGCGGTTGTTGAAGTTGTTGACCTTCATCACGAAGGTTCCAACTTGGTTCAGAGAGATATTCTCGGCCGGATTCCTCTCAACCTTTGAAGCGTTTGCATCAAAGTCTAGGCAGCAGCTCTCTACGTTCTTCTTTCCGTAGTAAAGCTCTGTGCCCTTCACCCAGGTGTGCAAGTCCAGGTCCGACTTATGAGGGTTACCATCCAGGCCCCAAACCAAAGTTACGGTACAGAGTGACTTCACCTGCTTCTCCCGTAACAGCTCCGCCACGCGTGAGACCATGTAGGTTTCTGGATTGCTTCGGTCGTCCATCATGGCCACAAGGCCCTCCAGATTGGCAGCAGTGTCCATAAAGTCTACCAGATTGCTAGCCTGTTGCATGTCCAAGTGCACATTTCCGTGGCACCGTCCTGTCAGCATCGCATAGATCATCACATGGAACTTTTCATGGAAAGCAAGCTTGTCCCAGCTCTTGCCGCGAGCTTCAGCAACAAAGTTCACCGCCCATTGGAGAACAGCCCTCCAGTGGTCCGGGCGCACCAACCGGGGAAGAGCATCCTGCATGACTTTCAAGGAAGCTGGGTCATCCACCAAGCGCTGGAATCGGTTGTCGAAGGAGCCGTTCAGGTAGAGCTTCAGATCCTTTAGCCTCTGAGATAATCCAGCATCCGAGAGCTGGTCGCAAGTGAAGTGCACGTGGCTGAAGGGTCCGACTTCGATGGGATACTCCTTGGCAAAGTCCTCGTCAATCACAATGGCGGTAAGCTCAGATACGTTTTGGATCGTCTTCCACTGCTTCTGGCGCAACTGTCGGAGTGTCTGCACGTTTGGTTCCTTCACGTCGCTGAATGCGAGGAATGATCCACCGTCGCCCATCAACTGCGCGAACTTCGGCATGCGGTGGATGCAGGTGTTGCACCGTCCAGACAGGTTGGACGCACAGAGCTTGCTCTCTGCCTTGGGCAGGCCTTCCCGAGGCTGAAGGCAGAAGAACAACTTCTTGTTCTGCACCTCCACTGCGCAAGCCTTCATCGCAGTGCTTTTGATCTTTCGGTAAGCTTTCTGGCACGCATCGTCGACTTTGGGGACCTCCACGACCTCCCAACCCTCATCGCCAGAGCCAGCCATCCCAACTAAAAGTGTCCGACGCTGATGAGCAATGGTGAAAGCTGAACACGCGAGCCAAAATGCCACAAGGTTTAGACTTAAGGCATTGGTTGCGCGATGTTGCACGATTTAATCAGCTGCGGACCTTCATTCGTTGTGTAAAGATGAGGACCACCACACCGAACACCGTGGCGAGAAGGCCTCGGTTTCTGCGAACAGCGAAGTGCACGCATCCATGCAAAGATTTGCACGGACGAAGTCCACTTACAGAGATGTCTCTCTCCAGATGCTTGTGCATGTGAGTATTCGGATGTACACACATGTTACATGTATGCATCTAGATATCCAAGCCTGTATGCTGGCTTCTTTGCGCGTGCACACGTTGCGATTCTCGCGGACATGACGACCAAACCGAACTACTATGCAAAAAGTATAAAACAGTCATGTCATATAGAATAAGTACTATATGACATGTTTAGAAGATCCAAAAGATGAACCTGAAGACTCACACATTGCCATGGCTGGGTCCCTGACAGAGCAAGCAGATACCCTCAGCACTAATATCCTGCCAAACTCGCGGCACAGTTTAGGGTTTAGGGTTTAGGGTTTGGGTTGGGTTTAAGGTTTTATTGCAAAAAGTAGCAATAACAACAACGCTAACCATCACCATAACAGTAAGACTACCACTTACACGGACAACGACCATGACAATAACAATAGGATAATCATCATAAGAATAATAAGAAGAAAGAAGACTAATGAGAATAATACTAGTACTAATAAAAGTAGAAATATGCTTTGTAACAATAACTCGTAAAAAATACTAGTAGCAACCATACTAATAACAGCATTAACAACAACAATAATACTAGAAATAATTGTGCGCAATACTAGTTGATTAATAGCAAAAATAACAACAAAAACATAGTCAGAACAATGGCAAAAACAAACATGACAACAATGATAACAATCATAATAATAACAATAGGAAGCCGTACGTGCTTTTGTGTTTCTGATTGGTTGATTTTGGAGCCCTGTCTTTCAAATCAAGCGATTTGGGTTCAGATATCCAGGGTACCCTCAAGTCCGTACAGTTGCTTTTTGATAACAAGTGTGCCCAAAAAGCTCCGTGCATGCCTTAAGCAGCGCTGTTGCTGGAATGATATTAGTAACAATAACAGCAGCAGCAGCAACAACAGCGATAATGGTAATAAATTCAATACTAATCATGTGGGAGTTTCCGAAGATAAGCGGTACCTTATTTTGGGGTCCTTATAACAAGGGTCCTACTATTCAGGGTGCTATATTGGGGTCCCCTGATTTTCAGAAACCCTCATGGTGCTCCTTTGCCAGTGAGATCCGGCCCTGAGGACCGCCGAGCAGAAGGGGCTGCACCTTGCGTTCAGCACTTGTAGGGTTTAGGGCTTAGGGTTAAGGATGATGGTTTAGGGTTTAGGAGGGTTAGGGTTTAGGAGGGTTTAGGGTTTAGGGTTTAGGGTTCCGTTCGATACGGCGAAGATGTGCAAGGTCAGCAACTGCCATGCACGATGCTTCCGGTTGTCATAACATACAGCAATGGAACTGGCAGCAACAGTAAGACAACCAGAGGCTGGGTGTCCCGAAAGCGCTCGCTGTAGCGAGTGGCAACAAACAGAGCTTCATGTGTCCATACATCCATCAATCGATTCTCCCGTCCGTGCATCCATCCATCCATCCATCCATCCATCCATCCGTCCCTCCATTGGTTCACAGTTGCATGCATTCATCTGTTCATCCATTTTCGCATACAGCTATCCACGCATCTATAGGATAAGAAGGCAGTGAACCAAAGAGTCCCAAAATCCTAAGTCTAGAGTCTAGAGCTGATTGCCCGGCGACCCATTTGGTCCAGCACAACTACCTGGCGATTTCAATGGTCCTTGCACGTTGCGCAGCGGTCTACTCCATGCCTGGTGTGCCGCCCAGATGCATTCTAAGAAATACACAAATATTATACATATATATATATATATATAAGTAAGTATGTATATAGATATAGATAATTGATATAGATGCTCAAAGTCTACACCTTGCAGAAAAAGAAGAAGAAGATGTTTAAAGCAGGATATCATCGTTTCTCTTGCAGGCCCCGAGCCGGACGAGAATTGCATAAATCTGGAGTTCATGGAGATTGGATTCTCTCCAAAGCTGTCCAAAACAGGAAGAGTTCTTTCAGAATAAAACTGCCTCACAAGATTCAAAAATCGCGCTGACGCGCCGCGACGTGCAGCGGCTCCTGCTTGCCCTGCCCCGTACGTTCGTGTCATCCCAACCGACCGCCTCCACACAAAAAAAGCTTTGTCGCGCTTTCGAGAAAAATCTAACACTAACAAACAGAAGCTTCACGGTCAAAGAGGCACACCATCACCAACAACAACAGCAAAGCCAACGTTGCGTCAGACAACAACGACGACGACGACGACGTGGACAACGACACAACGACCATGAAACAATCGCTGTAAACTAAACTCGCTGAGCTCGGGACGCCCCAGTGAGGAATCACAAAAAAAGCAGAGACAACGGTCAGCGTCGTACACATCCTCGGCTGGGCTCACATGCGACAACAGCAACTTCCACCTTCTTTGGTATGCAAATCCTCTGAGATCTGCGGGGAGCAGAAAGGGAGCTTGTCCTCAGCCCCTAAGCCCCTAAGCCCTCTTTCATTCTTTGGCCAGGCTTCAATTGGCAGTCTCTCTCTTCTTCTTCATCCGGGCATGAGGGGCTTCAAAACCCCCGGGGCACATGGGCCCCCCATCTGTTATGGGGCATTGAGGGAGTGTAAAACGATAACTGTTCCCCCTGAAAGAGCAGTAAGGTGTAATGGCCTATGAAAGGTTCAGGGTTCATAGTTATTTCGCGACACACTACAAAGCGTGGATGGCTCGTCACAGGGGTTTGCATATTCAACTAGAGCAAGTTAAATTACAATCAGCCAGAGCAGTGTAGAATACTGTTGGTTCCCCCGGTCCGACCACCAACACCTTATGCGGGGCTCTCTCTCTCTCTCTCTCTGTCTCTCTCTCGCCCTCTGTGTCTGTCGGTCTGTCTGTCCGTTATGCTAGCTTGGGTAGCTGCCCTCGCCCCTCGTCAAAGATGCAGAGTCCTACATGTGCCCTCACTGAGGTGCAGCAGAGAAACTCCGCAGAAATGCGAAGAAATATCAGATAGTTGAGAGCCTGGGCAGTCAGGAACAGTGCAGTCGATCTGTGCGTCAGCTGCGCCTGGCAAAGAAATAAGTCCAGCAAGCCTCCCAATGAGCCCCGCTTCTTCGCTGGTGTGCTGAGAGTCACGTACCGCAGAGGCCCTGACAGTGCCATGGAACCTTAGGTAGCAAGCTATCCCTGACCCCACGAAGATCTCAGCCCATGGACTCACTGGGCGCGGCACGTAGGGCCGAGAAAGGCCGAGGAAAACTCAAAGGCGTTTCGACTGGTGTACTCGCCACAGTCATCGTTCGCCAGCAGCCTCCATGGAAATCGAAGTGGCTCGATGCAGCCAATCCGAAGAAGCGATATCTATATTGCAGTATGCACACATATGCATGAATGTACATAGAGAAGTAAGTGTGCGTGTGTGTGTGTGTGTGTGAACCTCCCTAGCACATGGGGGCAGAGGGTCACTCCTACACAGTTGCAGGGGGTTGCAGGGGGGCGGAGGAGGTGTGGAGGGGCTCCGCCCAACGAAGCTCCCCTCCACACCTCAGGAAAAACGTACCTGCTTTTGCCTGCTCCTGGGCCCCGTCGTGGGCAGCTGGCGGGGCACTCATGTTCGTTCATCTTTCATCTCATTTCGTGCTACGCCATTCTTTTGTGTCTGGCGTAGCAAGGGGCTTAAACCTTACCCCTGACGGATCATTTCATTCCTTTTTGTTTTCGTATGCCATTCCTTCGGTCTGGCATACTTGGCAACAAAACCTTCATTTCATTCTCGTACAACATGTGCAACATGTCTCTATCTTTTTGCCTCTCTGCACTCGTGCTCTTGGCCGAATCAGTCAGTGTGACCATCGTGGGTCATGAGACTCCTGAGCAGCGGCTTTCCGTCATGGCGCCGTGGTGTTCCTTCGAAAGGGAAACCGGTGATAAACCGGATGTTCAGCCTTCGTTCAGACCGTTCAGCTCTCCCGATGCTTCTTATGATTACTTTCTCTCTCTCTGATGCTCGCATGTGAGTCTGACATGAGCGCAGGTGCAGTAACCGGCGTCTAGTGCAGTAACTGGCCGCTAATGCACAGGACTACCTCGCTAGTCTGTCCCCTATTCGATCGCTCCTTTATTCCTCAGGGAACGCAAGGGCATGCGCAACTGACATGAGTGCAGATGCAGTAACCTTCGGCTAATGCAAGTGGTTGCAGCTTCCTCCGGGAAGTAATCGGCCTCTCGCTTGCCTTCTCAACGTCTTCTCTCACGACAACCAGACACTGACCACTTACATTGCCCCAACTGGGGCTGTGTGTGTGTGAACCTCCCTAGCACATGGGGGCAGAGGGTCACTCCTACACAGTTGCAGGGGGTTGCAGGGGGGCGGAGGAGGTGTGGAGGGGCTCCGCCCAACGAAGCTCCCCTCCACACCTCAGGAAAAACGTACCTGCTTTTGCCTGCGCCTGGGCCCCGTCGTGGGCAGCTGGCGGGGCACTCATGTTCGTTCATCTTTCATCTCATTTCGTGCGACGCCATTCTTTTGTGTCTGGCGTAGCAAGGGGCTTAAACCTTACCCCTGACGGATCATTTCATTCCTTTTTGTTTTCGTATGCCATTCCTTCGGTCTGGCATACTTGGCACCAAAACCTTCATTTCATTCTCGTACAACATGTGCAACATGTCTCTATCTCTTTGCCTCTCTGCACTCGTGCTCTTGGCCGAATCAGTCAGTGTGTGTGTGTGTGTGCGTGTGATTAAGCATCCGTGTGTCTCTGTCCATATGTAGATGTACAGATGTGTTTACAAGGACAGGCTTCTACATGAATGTATGTGTAAACGCATTTGTGCGCATAGGTGTGTATGTACATCTGTACATACGTGTCCTGTGTGTATGTATATATATATATATATATATATACATATATATATATATATATATGTGTATACAAGACTTGGCATATGTACATATGTATAGTTGTACGAACACATGCATTTAAAATGTGCATACGTATAATATATGTAACGATGCATCTGTGTGTCTATCTGTATGTATCTATCTTTGTATCTATGTACTTATGTATGTCTGTATCTATGTACCTATGTACCTCTGTGCCTATGTACCTATCTATCTATCTACTATATCGGTAGGCAGGTAGACAGATGAGCAGGTAGGCAGGTAGGCAGGTAGGTAGGTACGTAACTGGTAGGTAGGTAGGTAGGTAGGTCGAGTCGATCGGTATGAACGTATGTATGTATGCATACATGTATGATTTGCGGAGCAGAACACGTAGAATAGTCGTGCCTCCGGGAAGCCTCTTGCAGTCCTCCTGACTCGTTGCTGGGGTTCCTTGGGAGCAGTCTTGGGACGACGCAGGGTTCAGAGATTGCAGATTCAAAACTTCTACACGGGAGGCTGCTCTGGTGGTGACGTTGTGCCTCCGCAGGTGTCGGCACCATCTCTTCAGGTGCCAAATGGCCACGCCTGCAGCTCGACTCGACACGGAGAGCAGCCAAAGAGTCTGTATCCCCCCTTAGTCCTGAAATGGCTCGGCTAAGCAACTTCTCCCAAAACTGCATCATACAGAACACCTGAGCAACCAGCCAGCTGCAAGCGTAATCACGTTGAGGGCAATGCTTTGGCCCATACCAACCTCAGAGGTCGGGCTGCTGGCTTCCAAGACAGGAAAATCAACATCATGCAGCAAGCTTTCCCACGATCTCGCTCTTTGCAATCTCGCTCTTTGCAACAAGGCAGCTGTGACTGGTTGCTGTGCATGATCCTCCAGCCACTGCTTGATGTTCGTCCGCGTCGTGCTCGCCTGCAGGGATTTTGTGCTGTGTCGGGAATGCCAGCTTCGTTTCAGACAACATCTGGAAGGGAAGGCCCTCTGCCTCCATCTCGCCAGCCATGATTTGGTATCATCCCGACGCGGCAAGGGAGGACCCTGAGTTACCGGTGGAGCCTGCTATAGCCTGAGCTCCTGCTGGCAGTTCGCCTGGATGTTGCAGAAGGCAACTTACAGAATCCTGCAGGCTTATGGGCATCAACCTGAGCATGTCTAAGCTAAGCCGAGTCTTCAAGCTCACTGGTACTAGAACTAGAACTCATCGGGATTACCAGCGAGATTACCAGTGGCACGGAAGGCAGGCTTCGTGTGAATACAGGCAGTCTAGGCTGCAGCGAAACGGCTGTCGTTGTCCGGAGTCGTGGTGTCTTGGGAGGAGAAACAGAGCCATCCCCCAACCTGCAGGCCTACCAACACCTACATTGGCTGTCCGACGACTATGTCTCTGCATGAGTCTGTCGGTTTGCTAATCCACACAAGTATCTGGACAAGGTACCACGTAGCTACATGTTCAGCTGTCTGTTGAAGTTTGCTGTCTTGTCCCGGGTCACCACCTGCTCAGTGCTCTCGCTGTCCTGTCTTATCCGCCCTGTATGTTATCTGCCTTGGTGCTCTTGTTTATCTAGCTGTCTTGAATATCGCGCATCTCCTAGCTCTTCGTCTGTCTCCATGTCAGCTGACTGTCTACATGGATTCATTCAGTAATTCATTCAACAATTCACTCCTTCGTTCATTCATGTATCCGATGTACCCATCCATTCATGTGTCCATCCATCCATCCATCCATCTGTCCGTCCGTCCGTCCGTCCGTCCATCCATTCATCCATCCATCCATCCATCCATCCATGCATCCATCCATCCGTCCGTCCGTCCGTCCATCCATCCATCCATCCATCCATCCATCCATCCATCCACACACCACCCGGCCAGCCAGCCATCCATTTAGTCACTCGGTCGTTTAGTAAGTCAGTCAAATCAACCCTTCCTTCATGTGTTCACGGCTCCCTCACCACTGAGTTCATGGATTTATCTGATCACTCGCTCATGTCGTGGCTCGTTCATCATCCCAGCCGGTCCCAGCAGCCCATGCGTCTCGTTCATACATTTGATAGTCCGCTGTTTTCAATGACCTCTTCCACATCGTGAATGTGGTTGCCTGCCCCATCCCATGTAGATGACGTCACGCTTCATAATATGCTGTCACTTCAATACAACCGAGCTGGATAAGGATCACTTGTTCAGTTGTGTGGTTGCTCTATTTGCAAACCCAGCTATTTCCAACTATGCTGTATCCTGAGCACGTGCATGTCCATGTATGGCTAATTTAGCTAAGTGGCTACGCTCGTGCCGTGGCTGCAGCAACACATACGAGGACTCTAGCGAAGAATGTGTGTACGCAGATATGCGTTCGTGCACAAGATGAATGCACCAAGTCAATCGTGCAAGCATGTGTCCATGTACAGCGAGCACGTGCTTGCGTTCGCATGCAGGCATGCTAAGCACACAGGCATGAATGAAGCCACAAAAGTGATCATAGATAAGCATTGTTTCCAGCCGGCAGACAACGGGTCCTCGAGGCTTTGCACGCTCTATATCACCTGGCTCTCCGAAGGCATTCCGGGTGAGTAAATCCTAGATAAAAACCGCTTCCACAAAGCCCTGGAGACCCATGTCGGCCATCCTTCCTTTCCTCTTTTGAGCGGATGGATGGCCGCACCGTGCTGTCCAAATGGCAAAGGGTGGGCACCCGAGCACGTACAGTAGGCGCTGCTAAGTACACCATGAAGACACAAAGCATTATGAGTGAAGAAAAGCGGCTTAAAGTGCGACTAAGAAAGTTTACCGGGAAATTTTGACTTCGAGCTATGCATGGCTAGCACCTCCACTTTGTCCATCTGGGCAGTTGAGCAAGTTCGGAGTCCCCGGCATTGACAACTCATTGTAGGGTTTAGGGGCGTAAGGTTTGGGGTTTAGGGCTGCCACCAGAAACATGTGTCAGATGCGTCTCTATCCATGGAGCTCACGGCTTCAGCCGACATCGTCCGGGGATTCCAGGGTCTAGGTAAATGCAATCAAAGTCTCTTCCGCTTCTCCTTCAGAATGTTAGCCAGCATAGCCTCCAAGGTTACATACCTTCAATGTTAAAATGTTAAAACCAGCACCTCTACCTGTGGAAATGTCACCCCGTGAACAAAAGAAAAGAGAACCGCTCCACGAAGAGCAAACGTCGGATATGAGATTCACTGAGAAGCGCCGTGTCGCCTAGACGCATCACCGGTTGGCATCGATCTTGTTCCAGACCTGGGCCAAACATGACTGCTTTGAGAGATAAGCCTTCTTGCAAGCATTCTCACTGCCGATGTATTATCCCTCTCTGCTCGCACAACACATGACGCTCAAACCATGTCTCATGCGGCTGAACACATCAAAGGCACACTCTCTACATCGAAGGTTTACTTGCCGAAACTCTCAAGAATTGTGAGGTGGGCATGCTTGCAGCCTAAGCTACACCGCTTGGCAGCTTGATGAACTTGTCCGCATAGGCGTCCATCTTGTAAAGACGTGCACGCAGCTCCTGGCCCTTCTTGCTGGCGTCGTTGATGTTGTCAATCAAAGACGCGTAGTCGGCAGCCAGCTGCTGGGCGTACTTGTTGTCGTACTCCCGCTTCTCAGGCTTCAACTTCATGACGAGAGAGTTGCTGACGTTCAGCACGGGAGATGTTGGAGCCTTGAGTGGGAAGGGGAAGCTGCCGTTTGCGCGCCAGCGCTCTGGGTGCTCTCCGTGGGGACCATACGGCGAGGAGGTGATCGTGTTGCCAACACCCCATCGCTTTCGGTCAACGATCGTGTTGTAGTTCCACACGGCCTCCATCTCCTTGTCCAGGTAGATGAGGATCTTGTTGATGTAGCGGGCACGAGGCGGCAGGTCCTTGCCGCTGGTGCTGCGGCGACGACGGCCCCAAGTTGTCTCCACTTCCTCCTCCTCATCCTCCTGCAGGAGTGACTTTCGGTTCCAGACCACAACATGGCCGGTGGCATTCTCCACCTTCTCCATGGTGTAGTTCACGAACTTCTCAAGCTCAGTGAGATACTGGTAGTTGGCCACGATGGGCTTCTGCAGCGGAGCCAGGATGTGCTTGAAGTGGTTCTTGGTCTTGGTGCTAATGTCCTTGAGCCACGCACTCTCTTCCTCTTCCTCCTGCTCCTCCTCGTCTGCCGCTTCCAACATCTCCTGCGCGGAGCTCTTCTGGCCCTTCAGCTGCAAAGCATTCAGCACACAGGACTCTTCGCCCCCGTTGCACTGATCGTCGCCAACTAGGGCCGATTCCAACACCTCGGGCGAGGCCGAAACCAGCGCCGCGAGGGCTGCCAATGACACGCCGAGCAGCTGCATTGCAACTGCAGATAGGCTTGCTCTGCTATTGAACGCTGTTGACAGGTATTGCTTCGAGAAAACTGGCCAGATGCACACGCACATGTACTTTCAGATGTCGAATGCACACTGCAGGCATCTGTATCCAAAAAGGCGTGCTTCCCACTCCCTCATGAAGACGATCTAGATCATGATGAGATCAGACTGAATGGTTCCAAGTCGACTAGCTTTGGTTTGTAATTCTGCTCGAAACGGATAGCTGCAAGCGAACTTTTTGAACTTGGCTTCAGTTCCAGCACTTTCCAACCGATTGAAAGCAAGTACTAGGCTGCGGTCGCTAAATCTGGGAGTCTTGGAGACAACAAGAGCTGACCAGGGCACACCTATTGAGTGTCAACCTGGTTCCAAACGGTTTTTGCGCAGCCAGATCAGGTGGCATCACCGGTTGGCATCGATCTTGTTCCAGACCTGGGCCAAACATGACTGCTTCGAGAGATAAGCCTTCTTGTAAGCATTCTCACTGCCGATGTATTATCCCTCTCTGCTCGCACAACACATGACGTTCAAACCATGTCTCATGCGGCTGAACACATCAAAGGCACACTCTCTACATCGAAGGTTTACTTGCCGAAACTCTCAAGAATTGTGAGGTGGGCATGCTTGCAGCCTAAGCTACACCGCTTGGCAGCTTGATGAACTTGTCCGCATAGGCGTCCATCTTGTAAAGACGTGCACGCAGCTCCTGGCCCTTCTTGCTGGCGTCGTTGATGTTGTCAATCAAAGACGCGTAGTCGGCAGCCAGCTGCTGGGCGTACTTGTTGTCGTACTCCCGCTTCTCAGGCTTCAACTTCATGACGAGAGAGTTGCTGACGTTCAGCACGGGAGATGTTGGAGCCTTGAGTGGGAAGGGGAAGCTGCCGTTTGCGCGCCAGCGCTCTGGGTGCTCTCCGTGGGGACCATACGGCGAGGAGGTGATCGTGTTGCCAACACCCCATCGCTTTCGGTCAACGATCGTGTTGTAGTTCCACACGGCCTCCATCTCCTTGTCCAGGTAGATGAGGATCTTGTTGATGTAGCGGGCACGAGGCGGCAGGTCCTTGCCGCTGGTGCTGCGGCGACGACGGCCCCAAGTTGTCTCGACTTCCTCCTCCTCATCCTCCTGCAGGAGTGACTTTCGGTTCCAGACCACAACATGGCCGGTGGCATTCTCCACCTTCTCCATGGTGTAGTTCACGAACTTCTCAAGCTCAGTGAGATACTGGTAGTTGGCCACGATGGGCTTCTGCAGCGGAGCCAGGATGTGCTTGAAGTGGTTCTTGGTCTTGGTGCTGATGTCCTTGAGCCATGCACTCTCTTCCTCTTCCTCCTGCTCCTCCTCGTCTGCCGCTTCCAACATCTCCTGTGCGGAGCTCTTCTGGCCCTTCAGCTGCAAAGCATTCAGCACACAGGACTCTTCGCCCCCGTTGCACTGATCGTCGCCAACTAGGGCCGATTCCAACACCTCGGGCGAGGCCGAAACCAGCGCCGCGAGGGCTGCCAATGACACGCCGAGCAGCTGCATTGCAACCGCAGGTGGGTCTGAGCGCTTTGGAAAGGAAGTGTTTTGAGAAAAGCTTCGTCCACTGGCAACCCTCCCCACATTGCTGGCACACACATCCTAGGTTGAAACATAGTTTCCATTTCATCTGCCAATAGTTGAAATTAAGCTGACGGGCGTTGCCCGTAACTTACCATCTACGCTGGCACTCGGTAGCTGAACGACGATCCCTCCTCCACTTCCTTCACCTCTGATCTCCTTCGCCAAACCAGCATCAAACTCTTGTGTCTGCAATGCCTTGCCGGTCAAACATTCACATACCGCCAATTCTGAAGCCGGCCACTCTTCTTTATCCGCTTGTGTATTTCTTCTTTGTTTGTCGTTTTTCTTTGCCCGTTTACTCTTGCTTGCTGCTGCTTCCGTTTATGGTTACTGTTCTGTTCGCTTATATGAGGGTTTATGACCTTTGTGTCTTCACCCGTGCATCAGCCTCTGTCTGATCGATGCATGGTTCTGCAGTGGCGCACGTATTTCACGGAACGAACTTCCACCGTATGCCCATATGACATGGGCACAAGTATATATGTACATGTACACTTGACAACCCATGTATATGTATATGTATGTACGTATGTGTGCATGTGCGCACATGCGTAGGTACGTGCGTATATATGTGCACAAGTGCATGTGTATGTATACACGTGTGTGTATATGTAGATATCAAAAATAAACATGTGTATATATTTATATATACATATGTAAAAATGTATATTATACATATATATATATATAGATGATGCAGGGCTGCCATACCCCCCTCCCCCCCCACCCCATGGTATCCTCCCCCCTTCCCCCCGGCCCCCCTGTGGTGTGGGGCCTGTGGTGGTACTCTTTTTGCCGCGACGTTCTTATGTGTTACTCCTTGTCTTCCCTCTTGCTGTGGCACCGGTGATACTGCTCATGATGTTGTGCTGCTCTAGACTCGGGACATGAGTCGACAATCACACCATGCTCAACATCATCCTTGTCGTCGTCATCTTCATCATTAATACCTTCAAAAGAATATCTGCCACCGTCACCATCGCCATACAACCCTCATAATTCATCATTGCAATTCATGTCAGATGCTGGAAACTACTGCGCCGATTGCCGCTTTCCGCACACGGCAGGGCATAGCGCGACACTCCCGATCCGCGCACAAGGTCAATGGGCGGGCAAGGTGCGGGCCGGGGGCGGGCCGGGGCGGGTGGGCGGTGCAGCAGCAGGGCAGCAGGGGAAGGGGAGAGGGGGGGGATACCATTGGGGGGGGGGGGGTGGCGGCCCGGGACCCGAGAGCATATATATATATAATATATATATATATATATATATATATATATATATCCGCCGACCCCTGCGGGCGGCGCCCGTGATATCCCGAGAGGTGTCCGCACCCACACCGCTTCCACCGACTCCTCCGCTCTGTTCAAAGAGTCTTTCGCCGCTGTATTTGTAGGTGTTTAAAGAGTATTTCAAGGCCCCCACCGCCCACACCGCCCCCACCGCCCCCACCGCCCTCACCTGCCTATGTACCAGACTGCCCGCACCGCCTCCACTGCTCTGTTCAAAGAGTTTTCGCCGCGGTATTTGTAGGTGTTTAAAGAGTATTTAAAGGCTGCCAATGTATGCCCGGACCCCCCCGCGCCCCCACCGCCCACACCGCCCCCACCGCCCACACCGCCCTCACCGCCCTCACTGCCCTCACCTGCCTATGTACCAGACTGCTTCCACCGCCTCCACTGCTCTGTTCAAAGAGTCTTTCGCCGCTGTATTTGTAGGTGTTTAAAGACTATTTAAAGGCTGCCAATTTATGCCCGGACCCCCCAATGCCCCCGCCGCCCCCACCGCCCACACCGCCCTCACTGCCCTTACCTGCCTATGTACCAGACTGCACCGCCCACACCGCCCTCAGCGCCCTCACTGCCCTCACCTGCCTATGTGCCAGACTGCCCCCACCGCCTCCACTGCTCTGTTCAAAGAGTCTTTCGCCGCTGTATTTGTAGGTGTTTAAAGAGGATTTAAAGGCTGCCAATGTATGCCCGGACCCCTCCGCGCCCCCACCGCCCACACCGCCCACACCGCCCCCACCGCCCACACCGCCCTCAGCGCCCTCACTGCCCTCACCTGCCTATGCACCAGACTGCCCCCACCGCCTCCACTGCTCTCTTCACAGAGTCTTTCGCCGCTGTATTTGTAGGTGTTCAAAGAGTATTTAGAGGCTGCCAATGTATGCCCGGACCCCCCACCGCCCACACCGCCCTCACCGCCCTCACTGCCCTCACCTGCCTTTGTACCAATCTGCCCCCACCGCCTCCACTGCTCTGTTCAACCCCCACCGCACACACCGCCCCCACCGCCCACACCGCCCTCACCGCCCTCACTGCCCTCACCTGCCTATGTACCAGACTGCCCCCACCGCCTCCATTGCTCTGTTCAAAGAGTTTTTCGCCGCTGTATTTGTAGGTGTTTAAAGAGTATTTAAAGGCTGCCAATGTATGCCCGGACCCCCCCGCGCCCCCACCGCCCCCACCGCCCACACCGCCCACACCGCCCACACCTGCCTATGTACCAGACTGCCCCCACCGCCTCCACTGCTCTGTTCTCAGAGTTTTCGCCGCTGTATTTGGTGTTTAAAGAGTATTTAAAGGCTGCCAATGTATGCCCGGACCCCCCCGCGCCCCCCCGCCCCCACCGCCCACACCGCCCACACCGCCCACACCGCCCTCACCGCCCTCACTGCCCTCACCTGCCTATGTACCAATCTGCCCCCACCGCCTCCACTGCTCTGTTCAACCCCCACCGCACACACCGCCCCCACCGCCCACACCGCCCTCAGCGGACTCACTGCCCTCACTTGCCTATGTACCAGACTGCCCCCACCGCCTCCACTGCTCTGTTCAAAGAGTCTTTTGCGGCTGTATTTGTAGGTGTTTAAAGGCTGCCAATGTATGCCCGGACCCCCCCGCGCCCCCACCGCCCCCACCGCCCACACCGCCCACACCGCCCCCACCGCCCACACCGCCCTCACCGCCCTCACTGCCCTCACCTGCCTATGTACCAATCTGCCCCCACGGACTCCATTTTCGCCGCTGTATTTGTAGGTGTTTAAAGAGTATTTAAAGGCTGCCAATGTATGCCCGGACCCCCCCGCGCCCTCACCGCCCACACCGCCCACACCGCCCACACCGCCCCCACCGTCCACACCGCCCACACCGCCCTCACTGCCCTCACCTGCCCCAACTGCCCCCACCGCCTCCACTGCTCAACCCCCCGCACACACCGACCGCCCACACCGCCCTCACCGGACTCACTGCCCTCACTTGCCCATGTACCAGACTGCCCCCACCGCCTCCACTGCTCTGTTCAAAAAATTTTCGCCGCTGTATCTGTAGGTGTTTAAATAGGCTGCCAATGTATGCCCGGACCCCCCCGCGCCCCCACCGCCCCCACCGCCCCCACCGCCCACACCGCCCACACCTGCCTAGTACCAGACTGCCCCCACCGCCTCCACTGCTCTGTTCAAAGAGTTTTCGCCGCTGTATTTGTAGGTCTTTAAAGAGTATTTAAAGGCTGCCAATGTATGCCCGGACCCCCCCGCGCCCCCACCGCCCCCAACCGACGCCCACACCGCCCCCACCGCCCACACCGCCCTCACCGCCCTCACTGCCCTCACCTGCCTATGTACCAATCGCCCCCACCGCCTCCACTGCTCTGTTCAACCCCCACCGCACACACCGCCCCCACCGCCCACACCGCCCTCACCGCCCTCACTGCCCTCACCTGCCTATGTACCAGACTGCCCCCACCGCCTCCACTGCTCTGTTCAAAGAGTCTTTCGCCGCTGTATTTGTAGGTGTTTAAAGAGTATTTAAAGGCTGCCAATGTATGCCCGGACCCCCCCGCGCCCCCACCGCCCCCACCGCCCACACCGCCCACACCGCCCCCACCGCCCACACCGCCCTCACCGCCCTCACTGCCCTCACCTGCCTATGTACCAATCTGCCCCCACCGCCTCCATTTTCGCCGCTGTATTTGTAGGTGTTTATAAAGAGTATTTAAAGGCTGCCAATGTATGCCCGGACCCCCCCGCGCCCCCACCGCCCCCACCGCCCACACCGCCCACACCGCCCACACCGCCCACACCGCCCCCACCGCCCACACCGCCCTCACCGCCCTCACTGCCCTCACCTGCCTATGTACCAATCTGCCCCCACCGCCTCCACTGCTCTGTTCAACCCCCACCGCACACACCGCCTCCACCGCCCACCGCCCTCACCGGACTCACTGCCCTCACTTGCCTATGTACCAGACTGCCCCCACCGCCTCCACTGCTCTGTTCAAAGAGTCTTTCGCCGCTGTATTTGTAGGTGTTTAAAGAATATTTAAAGGCTGCCAATGTATGCCCGGACCCCCCCTCCCCCCCACCGCCCCCACCGCCCACACCGCCCACACCGCCCCCACCGCCCACACCGCCCTCACTGCCCTCACTGCCCTCACCTGCCTATGTACCAATCTGCCCCCACCGCCTCCACTGCTCTGTTCAACCCCCACCGCACACACCGCCCCCACCGCCCACACCGCCCTCATCGCCCTCACTGCCCTCACCTGCCTATGTACCAGACTGCCCCCACCGCCTCCATTGCTCTGTTCAAAGAGTCTTTCGCCGCTGTATTTGTAGGTGTTTAACGAGTATTTAAAGGCTGCCAATGTATGCCCGGACCCGCCCGCGCCCCCACGGCCCCCACCGCCCACACCGCCCACACCGCCCCCAGCGCCCACACCGCCCTCACCGCCCTCACTGCCCTCACCTGCCTATGTACCAATCTGCCCCCACCGCCTCCACTGCTCTGTTCAACCCCCACCGCACACACCTCCCCCACCGCCCACACCGCCCTCATCGCCCTCACTGCCCTCACCTGCCTATGGACCAGACTGCCCCCACCGCCTCCATTGCTCTGTTCAAAGAGTCTTTCGCCGCTGTATTTGTAGGTGTTTAAAGAGTATTTAAAGGCTGCCAATGTATGCCCGGACCCCCCACCGCCCACACCGCCCACACCGCCCTCACTGCCCTCACCTGCCTATGTACCAATCTGCCCCCACCGCCTCCACTGCTCTGTTCAACCCCCACCGCACACACCGCCCCCACCGCCCACACCGCCCTCACCGCCCTCACTGCCCTCACCTGCCTATGTACCAGACTGCCCCCACCGCCTCCATTGCTCTGTTCAAAGAGTTTTTGTTGCTGTATTTGTAGGTGTTTAAAAAGTATTTAAAGGCTGCCAATGTATGCCCGGACCCCCACCGCCCCCACCGCCCACACCGCCCACACCTGCCTATGTACCAGACTGCCCCCACCGCCTCCACTGCTCTGTTCAAAGAGTTTTCGCCGCTGTATTTGTAGGTGTTTAAAGAGTATTTAAAGGCTGCCAATGTATGCCCGGACCCCCCCGTGCCCCCACCGCCCCCACCGCCCACACCGCCCACACCGCCCACACCGCCCCCACCGCCCACACCGCCCTCACCGCCCTCACTGCCCTCACCTGCCTATGTACCAATCTGCCCCCACCGCCTCCACTGCTCTGTTCAACCCCCACCGCACACACCGCCCCCACCGCCCACACCGCCCTCACCGGACTCACTGCCCTCACTTGCCTATGTACCAGACTGCCCCCGCCGCCTCCACTGCTCTGTTCAAAGAGTCTTTCGCCGCTTTATTTTTAGGTGTTTAAAGAATATTTAAAGGCTGCCAATGCATGTATGCCCGGACCCCCCCGCGCCCCCACCGCCCCCACCGCCCACACCGCCCACACCGCCCCCACGCCCACACCGCCCTCACCGCCCTCACTGCCCTCACCTGCCTATGTACCAATCTGCCCCCACCGCCTCCACTGCTCTGTTCAACCCCCACCGCACACACCGCCCCCACCGCCCACACCGCCCTCATCGCCCTCACTGCCCTCACCTGCCTATGTACCAGACTGCCCCCACCGCCTCCACTGCTCTGTTCAAAGAGTCTTTCGCCGCTGTATTTGTAGGAAAGAGTATTTAAAGGCTGCCAATGTTTGCCCGGACCCCCCGCGCCCCCACCGCCCCCACCGCCCACACCGCCCACACCGCCCTCACTTGCCTATGTACCAGACTGCCCCCACCGCCTCCACTGCTCTGTTCAAAGAGTCTTTCGCCGCTGTATTTGTAGGTGTTTAAAGAGTATATTAAAGGCTGCCAATGTATGCCCGGACCCCCCCGCGCCCCCACCGCCCTCACCGCCCTCACTGCCCTCACCTGCCTATGTACCAGACTGCCCCCACCGCCTCCACTGCTCTGTTCAAAGAGTCTTTCGCCGCTGTATTTGTAGGTGTTTAAAGAGTATTTACAGGCTGCCAATGTATGCCCGGACCCCCCCGCGCCCCCACCGCCCCCACCGCCGCCGCCCACACCGCCCTCACTTGCCTATGTACCAGACTGCCCCCACCGCCTCCACTGCTCTGTTCAGCCGCTGTATTTGTAGGTGTTTAAAGAGTATATTAAAGGCTGCCAATGTATGCCCGGACCCCCCGTGCCCCCACCCACCGCCCTCACCACACCAACTGCATCGCGAAAGCTGCCGAAAACAGCAGCGCCGCCGAAAACAGCGGCCAGAACAGAACTGCCCGAACCCCACCCCTCTACAGCCGCCGAAAACAGCAGCACTGCCGAAAACAGCAGCATTAAGTGAACGAAGTTGGAAGTTTGGAGTGGGGGTTTAAAGCGATGTGTTTGAGATCCGGCCAGCCTGCGCTCCTGGAGATGGCCACGTCGCGACCTCCTGTCAGAGCTGCCACACCATACCGATCCACGCGACGTGACCTGGGTCTACTGCCGGCCTTGCGATGCGCCGCCGCGCGCGCGACTTTTTTGTCGTACCACCCCATGGCCACAACTACACTGGTCTTCAAAGCAGCCAACCCTGATACGGAGGAAGTGACATGAAATTATAAGATAGGGCCTGCAAGTCTTGTAACTGGCACGAGTAGCATGAGCACATGACTGATGCGGCGAAGTACTCGGACTGACGCAGTGCTCAGCTCTCGGACATTGTGTGCACATGTTTCCGCAACCTTGTGACTCAGAGGCAGAAGGCATCCGCACAGAACCGAGTTTCGCAGCAAGGCTGTATTCGTTATGATTAAGATCCTTCCTTGGATAGTCACCTCTCTCCTTTTGGGGTCGGCGGCAGTGGCGGCAGCCCATAAATCGGGCAGCGCTTCGCTGCCCTGTATGGACTGAGCTATGGCTCAGACGAATGAGCTTCGTCTGCGAAGCAGAAGCCACGACCGACAGTGCCGCCGACCCGCCCCGGACCCCGCATCATCGGACCCTCGTTTCTCCCTCGGGCCGCGCGGGGCCTGGCCCGAAGGCGTCTCGGAACGCACACGCGTTTTGCAGCCATTCCCCGCGGTGTGGCGGGTTTCGGGGCCGCCGTGGACGACGCCAGGAGGCGAGAGCCCTCGGGCGCCCGCAACCGGCGCCGGCGGCGCGACGTGGGCGCGAAGTCATAACTCCCAAGTTTTTGAGTGGGTTGCGGAAGCCGCCAAAGGGCGCGCATCATGAGCATCAGCGGGGTCCGGCGGACGGGGGGTGCGAGCTACATGCAGGGCCGACGGGGGCTGAGAGCCTACGATCACCCACAAATTGCGCACTTCGGGCCTACGTTGCGCTTATCTATATACCGCGGGTTTCTGACAACAGCTCGCGCTGCCCGCACCTGGGCGCAGCCCCTAAATATATATGTGCAAACATTGTGTGTAATTGTATGTATATATATATATATATATATATATGTACATCTGCATCTGTATATACACTCCGCGTGTACATATATATATATATATATATGTATGCATATGTATATACACTGTATATATATATATACACATATATACATATATGTATATGGAGACAGAGAGAGAGAGAGAGAGAGAGAGAGAGAGAGAGAGAGAGATATAGGCAGATAGCTAGCTGAGTAGATAGATAGATATACAGAACGATCGATGGATAGATAGATGGATAGACAGACAGATAGATACATCGACAACTAAACTAAGATATATATATATATATATATGCACATATATATTTTATATACATATACATTAATACCTTTATATGTTGTATGTATGTATGTATGTATGTAGTATGTATGTACTTGTACAAATTCGTACATCTGTCCATCCATGCAGACATACATACACACATAGGTATGTATGTGTATGTGACTGTATGTGTGTGCGATTCCATGCTTCGTTCTGCAATTAGTATTGCGTGGCAACTTGTTCGTGTGCAGTGCTATACGCAACTACCTTGCAGTTCGGCGAGTTGTTCACCTGGCATACCAGGTACGGTCTGACCCTCATTCTATCTGCTTATATGCTTGTATATGATTTGTAAATTTGCAGTTCCATGTCTTCGGAAAGCATTCGACAGCGTAAATTGCCGGAATATATCGACTGCACAGGCAGTGCCAGCTTGTATTTGCCGATAGCTTACAGACCTGTACGATGCTTCTTCGTGGTAATCAGTACCCTACTACACATTGAAAACTTCTATTCATAAATGCACACGTTTTCTTTCTGATGGTTCAACTTTGTGCTCCCTTGGCTTTATCCTGCTGTGCTTGCTTGCCGCCTTGCTTTACTGCTTCTCCCACCGACAGAAGATAAAAGCACAGTTCAGAATAGCGACAACATTCGAACCCTTTAGCCTCGGGCCCTATAGTAACAATGATAGTAACAAGAGTAATTGTAAAAATAATAGGCAATACTTACGAACAGAGGCAGTGGCCTTGCACAACTCCAAGTGTACCAGTTCCGCTGTCCAGGCCCCCTGTGCATCCTCTTTTCTGCTCAAGGAAGGCTCAGTCAACTTCCTCTGCGCATCCCATTCAAGCGCAGCAGAGGCGGAAGGGCACATTGGCAGCTAGAAGACGAAAAAGAGACAGGCAGTCACATCTTTACAAGTGGCTCTAAAGTACGGCATCACCGGTTGGCATCAATCTTGTTCCAGACCTTAGCCGATCGTCGCTGCTGCAGAGAATACTCACTGATCGTGCTTGTACACTACAAAGGTTTGCAAGCGCACACGTGTACGAACCTATCTTCCCCGACACACTACTCGAACCATCCACGCCCAAGCCCAAAATCTGTAGAACTGTACGCTTGGCATGCTTGCAGCCTAGCTACACCGCTTGGCAGCTTGATGAACTTGTCTGCATAGGCGTCCATCTTGTAAAGACGTGCACGCAGCTCCTGGCCCTTCTTGCTGGCGTCGTTGATGTTGTCAATCAAAGACGCGTAGTCGGCAGCCAGCTGCTGGGCATACTTGTTCTCGTACTCCCGCTTCTCCGGCTTCAAGTGCATGACGAGAGAGTTGCTGACGTTCAGCACGGGAGATGTTGGAGCCTTGAGTGGGAAGGGGAAGCTGCCGTTTGCGCGCCAGCGCTCTGGGTGCTCTCCATGGGGACCATACGGCGAGGAGGTGATCGTGTTGCCAACACCCCATCGCTTTCGGTCAACGATCGTGTTGTAGTTCCACACGGCCTCCATCTCCTTGTCCAGGTAGATGAGGATCTTGTTGATGTAGCGGGCACGAGGAGGCAGGTCCTTTCCGCTAGTGCTGCGGCGACGACGGCCCCAAGTTGTCTCGACTTCCTCCTCCTCATCCTCCTGCAGGAGTGACTTTCGGTTCCAGACCACAACATGGCCGGTGGCATTCTCCACCTTCTCCATGGTGTAGTTCACGAACTTCTCAAGCTCAGTGAGATACTGGTAGTTGGCCACGATGGGCTTCTGCAGCGGAGCCAGGATGTGCTTGAAGTGGTTCTTGGTCTTGGTGCTAATGTCCTTGAGCCACGCACTCTCTTCCTCTTCCTCCTGCTCCTCCTCGTCTGCCGCTTCCAACATCTCCTGCGCGGAGCTCTTCTGGCCCTTCAGCTGCAAAGCATTCAGCACACAGGACTCTTCGCCCCCGTTGCACTGATCGTCGCCAACTAGGGCCGATTCCAACACCTCGGGCGAGGCCGAAACCAGCGCCGCGAGTGCTGCCAATGACACGCCGAGCAGCTGCATGGCGCTCACAAAAGGGGGAAAACGAATGGTACACGCACAACGCTGTTCGCAACTGTTGCTGCACGGCAGCGGCACAACAGAACCTGCACTCACATGATTATGGTTGGCAAGTGGGCTCTGCGACTGCTCAATCACTGCGAATTTGATATGTCGTCGCACAGTCTCCCCAGTTAGAATCCGCTCCTTTGCACCACAGTAAGCAAATTTGTCCGGCCCGCGCAGCAGGACCCGAGAATTGAATTCTGAGACAACTGACAACAAAGCAGTCTTGGTGAACGCACTGAACACGTTGCCAACATCCATTTCTGCTGCATATTATAGAGCGTGGTTCGAGCAAGCAGTTACGCAGACCTGTGCATGATGCGCCACTACTGGCGAGGCAAGCCTGTCGCGACGGTCGTCCGTCATTCCCAGGACCGGAGATAGCTTGCGGGGAAGAAAGAGCTATACGGATGGAGAGGGCATGTGGACTTTGCTCGCAGTTTTGCAAAATTTCCTTTCGAGCAGCATGCACTGTTTGAGGGACTCCAATACCGTCACGTCGTGAACGATCTGTCCACGACCAGACAAATCCCGCGCCTCGAGACTACACAGCCCCTTCCCCACGGCCAAGATCTATTGATGGGTCCCCCACGTCTACAGGGCCGAATAAACACAGACTGCCACTCACACGTATACAGCAAGGCTGCTTATCGAGCAGACTACTCTCGAGAAGAGAAGCAACCCAACGCAAAGTGCCTTTTCCAAGCGGGCTCTTTTGCGAGACATGCAGTACTACCAGACTATTAGTCTTCGACTACTGTCACACAGACCCAGCACCTCGATCCAAGTCGTGCACATGCGCAATGAACCAGCGGAAAAAAGAGTTTACAAGCAGGCCGGTACTGCATTGACCGGTGACTTGTGGATGTGCAAGAGCAACGAGAACCAAAGCAGCGCTCCTCTAGCGTTGACCCAACACCTCTGAATCTATCATTGATCTTCGCACTAGCACGCGCTACACGTGCCGGGACAGCTGTCGTAGTATCATCGCTTCGATGCAGTGATGTGGCTCTTACGGCTTTGACTGATCGAAGTACAAGTACCTTGACGACTTGCGCTTGTCAGGAGGTATCGTTTTGACGAGGCTGACCTAGATTCTGTGGACGAATCCTTGTATCGATGCCTTGGAATCATCCGGTATTACCACAACAACGTTCAACTTAGATCGCAGCTCTGGACCGGGTGCTTGGATCTGCGTTGGAGGTGGATCCACCCTGTGCAAGACAAATACAATGCATGTTCGGTGCAGATTCAACCACTGAGCAGAAGTCTTGCACAGCACGACGAGCATGGCAAGTCGGAGTCAGCGACTGTGGTATTAAAAGCGCTCCTGCCCGAGTGCATGAAGCAATTTCACAGTGCTTCTCAGTGTCAACTCCACCCGATCACCAGAATGCGCACGCACCTAAACCAAACTAAGTTTTGCAGTGCTACTGCAGCCACAACTAAGAGTGTGCCAATATAGAGACAACAACGTAAACGCTACGTAGTGGAGAGGTTGGTTGTCCATCGGTCAACCCAAATCAGCTGACAAGGTCACTGGCTGTAAGGATATCACGTTCGTGCACTCACCAGGAGCTAGCAGTCAAAACACAAAGCCTTCCACGTCAAACATGTCGAAGGCTTTGGTGCAGCAAGTGTTGCAACGAGTGACTCCGTGTCTACCCGCCCCTATTCAGCGGTGCCCCAGCCCAGCCTGCTCTTTGCTATGTTTATCCATCTCGCTTACATTTGCACTCTTCCGACCTGCAAGTCCAGTGTACCTTCGCATAATGAAAGCGCTATATATAACCTGCTGATGAATCGGCTTCTGAGGAAGCGGAGCCACTCTCTCTAGACCTCACTATCTCTGCGCATCGATCTTGTTCCAGACGCCACTGGGCAAAGCAACAAACTTGTCTGCAAATCCATCCATCTTGTAAAGGCGTGCTCGCAGGTCGTTGCCCTTCTTGCTGGCGTCATTGATGTTGTCAATCAGCGACTGGTAGTCAGCAGCCAGCTGCTGGGCGTACTTGTTGTCGTACTCTCGCTTCTCTGCCTTCAGGTGCATGACGAGAGAGTTGCTGACGTTCAGCACGGGAGATGTTGGAGCCTTGAGTGGGAAGGGGAAGCTGCCGTTCGCGCGCCAGCGCTCCGGGTGCTCTCCGTGGGGACCATACGGCGAGGAGGTGATCGTGTTGCCAGCACCCCATCGCTTTCGGTCAACGATCGTGTTGAAGTTCCACACGGCCTCCATCTCCTTGTCCAGGTAGATGAGGATCTTGTTGATGTAGCGGGCACGAGGAGGCAGGTCCTTTCCGCTAGTGCTGCGGCGACGACGGCCCCAAGTTGTCTCAACTTCCTCCTCCTCATCTTCCTGCAGGAGTGACGACTTGCGGTTCCAAACTACCGCATGGCCGGTGGCGTTCGCAACCTTCTCCATGGTGTAGTTCACGAACTTCTCCAGCTCAGTGAGATACTGGTAGTTGGCCACGATGGGCTTCTGCAGCGGAGCCAGGATGTGCTTGAAGTGGTTCTTGGTCTTGGTGCTGATGTCCTTGAGCCATGCACTCTCTTCCTCTTCCTCCTGCTCCTCCTCGTCTGCCGCTTCCAACATCTCCTGTGCGGAGCTCTTCTGGCCCTTCAGCTGCAAAGCATTCAGCACACAGGACTCTTCGCCCCCGTTGCACTGATCGTCGCCAACTAGGGCCGATTCCAACACCTCGGGCGAGGCCGAAACCAGCGCTGCCAGCGCTGCAAACGAAGCTGCTACGATCTTCATGGGCAAACGAAGCTGGCACGAGCTTTGCCTGGGCACTACAAACGTCTTATATGCGCAATCGAGCCAACTATCAAAGCGAAACAGCTCCCCGCTTCCTGGCCAAGCCCAGAAAGCCCGCCAAGAGTGACCACGAAAGCCTGTGTTTTGTGCTTCAAGAGCCCACGATCGTTACCCCGTGTTCAGGTGAAACCGGATGGAACAGGCGATGATTCCGCATCTTTGCCATCACCTGGAACCCTTCGGGGATGCTTTGCGTGGAGCTACTGCGTGTAAACAGCCGGCCGCTTTTCAGCCTAAGCTGTCAGCCGACGACCCCGAAAAATGCAAGGGGGAGGAGCGGCTTGGAGCAAGTTCCAGCACTGGTCGGCAGTGGTTCAGAAAAGGTTGACAAACAACTAACAAGCACTTTTCACCGGCAATGCCCTAACTTGAATTTATCTCAAGCTCCGATTGAGATATCCGCAGCCAGTCAGTCCAGGGCCAGGAAGCGATCGATTAATCTTCCGAACAGCCGTCTCACGAATCTCACGAGGGAAAGCGAAGCCTCAAAGGCGGATTCTGCTAAGGCAACTCACGAAGAACCAGGAGAAAGAAGAGGGTCAGGAGGAGAACATGACGAGCAGGAGCAGCTGCAGTAGTGTAATCCGCCGAGGCCACAGGCCCAGGCGTCTTTGGGGGTTACCTCAGGTTCCCTCCACCTAATCCTCCTCCCTGCCGTTTTTTGCATTCGTTTGCCACCCCCTTGCCCGGCTTCCCTTTTACCTGATTTGTAGGCCTCCCTCCCCCTCACCCCCCCTCCCTCCCCCTCCTCTCCCCTCCCCCCTCCCCTCTCCCCTCCCTCACCCCCCACTCCCTCCCTCTCCCCCCCTCTCCCCTCTCCCAAAGGAGAAGAGCAGCGAGGTCGCGCACCGGACACGCAAAGGTTGGGGTTGAGAGGCCCCCCTAGTGGTGTATACGAGGTCCACTGCCCCCTCGCCCTGCCGCTACAGAGCCGAGGCGGGCGGCGTAGCGTTCAAATTACTAGTAGAAACGTTAGCACGATTGATAATCTTGGCGCTGATGTTGCATTTCACTATGCTTGCCATGGCTGACTGCAACATCAAGCAACAGCAACAGCAACAGCAACAACAACAGCAACAGCAACAGCAACAGCAACAGCAACAGCAACAACAACGACAACAACAACAACAACACCAGCACCAGCACCAGCACCAACACCAGCACCAACAGCAACACCAACAACAGCACCAGCACCAGCACCACCACCAGCACCACCACCAGCACCAGCACCATCAACACAACCACAACACCGCACCAACAGCAACAAGTCCAACAGCAGCAACAGAGGCAATCAAAACCACCTGGGGTTGTAAAGAAACCCCGTTTCAAATCTATTCATCCGTTATGATGACATCGTGCTATTTTCTTCCTTATCGTTTTACAGCAGTTGGAGCAGTAGTAGTAGTAGTAGTAGTAGTAGTAGTAGTAGTAGTAGTAGTAGTAGTAGTAGTAGTAGTAGTAGAAGTAGTAGTAGTAGAAGTAGTACTAGTAGTAGTAGTAGTAGTAGTAGTAGTAGTAGTAGTAGTAGTAGTAGTAGTAGTAGTAGTAGTAGTAGTAGTAGAGGAGTAGTAGTAGTAGTAGTAGTAGTAGTAGTAGTAGTAGTAGTAGTAGTAGTAGTAGTAGTAGTAGTACTAGTAGTAGTAGTAGTAGTACTAGTACTAGTACTAGTACTAGTACTAGTACTAGTACTAGTACTAGTACTAGTACTAGTACTACTACGACTACGACTACGACTACTACTACTACTACTACTACTACTACTACTAGTACTGGTACTAGTACCAGTACTACTACTAGTACTAGTAGTAGTAGTAGTACTAGTAGCAGTAGTAGTAGTGGTGGCGGTGGTGGTGGTGGTTTTTGTTGTTGTAGAAAAAGATGAATAAAAGTAAGAATAGTACTCGTAATACTTTTACTGCCTGTAGTACTCGACTAGTGCTACCCCAGTCTGCCTTCCATTTTCCCTGTCTGCCTTCATGTCCTCCTTCCTTGCGTCCTTTCTTCCAGCGTTCCGGCTGTCCTTGCTGTCCAATGTCCTTCCTTTCTTCCTTCCTTCCTGCCTTCCTTCTTTTCCTTCTACCCGCCTTTCTTCCTTCCTTCCTACCTTCCTTCCTTCCTTCCTTCATGGCCCATTCTCCCCGCCTTCCTTCCTTCCTTCCTGCCTTCCCACCTTCCTTCCTGCCTTCTTTTCCTCCGTACTCTCTTCTTGCTTCTATTACAAAGGTGTGACGTTATCGTTGTTGATACCTCCTTGTTGTTTTACAAGCCGAACATGCCATCGCCAACACTGTGTAGCTTATTCCTTCCATACATCCTACGCACGTGGTTAATATACAACCCTCCTGAACTGCGACCACTACCAGCTACTACCATCATAGCAACTCTCATGATGATGATAAGCGTGGCACAATGGTAAGCACGATGATTATTCTGATGTGCGTCATCACCATGCTGACATGAAAATGACTCATAATCACGACGATGCTGATTGTGATAGCACACTAATGACTAATGATGATGTTGACCAAGATGGACGATGATGACTATCAATGTTCGCACCAATATTCCATTGTTCACACTTTAGTTTCATGCCTTTACTGCCCATGTTGACCACTGCATGATGACCGCAGCCAAGGAACGTCCTGCGGAAGCTCGACGGATGGAGAACTTGCCTCTCCGTGCGAAAACATGACGGTGGCTGCAGCCAGGGATGTGACTCGACTACAGAAGCTAAGTTTAAGTGCCAATCGTGGGCAATAGGCATGGATATAGTGACAATGACTACCATCAGGTACCTCTCTGTCATCCGCAACGCTGGCGGCGTTACTACGTACCAAGCATGCAAGTGTGCATAGCGCCGTTCGAGATTGCCTGATTTTGAGTCCTGTTCCTCTTCTTCCGTGGCAGGCTGGCAACATCATGATGGCTTCCTGACGGTATCCTGCTGGCGACGAGCCATTAACCTGGTGCTCTAAGATTTCCAAGCTTGCCACGTCGCCGTGGTGTTACTTGCCTTGTGTTAAACAGTCCTATCCAATTTCCACATACAAGACTGGACGAGGGGTTCAACTGCCCAATGCGAAGCAGCACAAGCGTGTGCATCTCACTTGCATTTGACGAAGTGCTAGCTTCCACAATCGCTAGACGGCGATGCGCCGAGTGAGGCAGAGGCAAGGAACAAAAGCAAAGCCTGCCCGGTACCAGCTTTCACCACTGCTCGTCACAAGCCCTCATAACTCATAAAGATTCACTACAAAGCCGCAAGAGCAGCGAAAAAGCCAATCAAATCCACTGATGAATCCTAGGCCGAAACAAAAGGGGCCTCAGTAAGCCTTAGTAATTTGAAAAGGGTTTGACTGTTGTGGTACATTCTGGAATACATGTACCGGGACTGACCGAGGACTTGCTGCTAAATCATCCGACCTCTGTGTTACGAAAACCGGCTTCTTCGTGACTTGACTATGCTGAACAGCAGCTGAGCGCAGCCCGACGGAACGACGCAGAGGGAGCCCGGCGGCCCGGCACCTTGTGCGTTGCGGGCTTCCAAGGCTTCGGGTTTAGGGGGTCATGCACAAAGAGGCCAAGCTCACGTGTTCTCGGACGAGGGACTTGTCGCTTCCACCGCAAGGCCCACTAGCAAAGCTGGCACATAGCGGCGCAGCGGCTGCGAGAAGAACTCCACCTGCAGGGTCGGAGTTTATCAACGACAGGGACGACAGCGTCATCTCACAGGGGCTTCACGGCCTTTGACATGGTGGCCTTTACATCATCTCTTACTGAAGCCTTTCATTCTGTGCCTACCCTGTCGAAGCCGAGGCACTGACGAAGAAACCGGAACTGCTGAGACCGATCTTTAGACATGCCCTCATCAAAGAAACGGTCTCAATTTGATAGCTAAGTCGATGTCTTCGGTGACTCCGCATGCAGCAGCTTCCACAGACCATGGTCGAGTAAGGAACCTAGTGCTCCGCCTTCAAAACTTTCATGGCCTCATGATCTCTCGAGTATTTGACCCGCCAGACACGGCGCCTGGCCCTCTACCGGGATGAATCCGCGTGGCACGATACCTCGCCAAGCTGTCTTGCCGGACTGTCATTCTTGGCATGCACAGAGATACCTATCGGATTTGGGTTTCAGGAATGGCAATGCAGGTCGTATCGCAAGAGCGGCCTGTCGGCAATGCTGGCGGATGTGGACTGCAAATCATGTTTGGATCAGAAGGTACTCTTCTGCATGGCACAGGTCGTCATGCAGTGCCCTTTGTAGTCAAGACGTCATGCTGCTCTGTACCATGGCTCATGCAGACCGGCATGGAGTTGTATTTCCGGCATGCCAGCCTCCTGGCATGGCATCTGCAGCGGGGGCTGCCGGTCTGAGCAGAGTTGGAACTCTCGTAATAACAACAACAATAATAACAACAACAATAGTCACATTAGTAGTAATGTCAATATAACAATATTAATACTAATAATATTGTTAATAGTAATAACAATCATTATAACAAGCAGACCCATCGGACTTCACCCTATCTTGCAAGCAGACTGGACAGCATGCACGGCGGCATTTTTGAAAATGAAGATCCTACCTTCAACTAGCATCATGTAGGTTGTTACCCCAATATACAGTTTACAGGGACCCGAACAAAAAGTAGGTTTTGGCAGTTCCTTCGGTTTCGGGTCTTTGCTTAAGCTACCAGTATGGGACTCTCGTGGTCTCTACTCTTTTAGCATGACCTTGGGTTTCAGGTTTGGGTTTCCGACTATTCCCGGCCTCGTCATGCCCGCTGCGTGATCCTGCCAAGCAACTTTCGAGGGACGGAATGACATAAGCCCCAGCCTAGACACGAATAAGCTCCTTGCTGTAGGCCTTAACTTATTAATAATAATATAATGATAGAATATGAATGTAACAATAATGACAACAGTATGCTTAATAATAATAATAATAATAATAACTTTTTGAGCACTCTGCACTCTCTGGGCCTTCCGCATCGAGCTGCCCGGCCAGCCCTCCGTCTCCTCGCATGGCATCGTCCCACAGGGCCAGGTACCTGTAGGAGGGGCTTGGGCTGCGGCTGCCTGTGCAGGCGCGCGGGCCGGAGGAGGCAGCGGAGGAGGCTCCGAGGGAAAGGAGTGACTTGCCCAGGGATGCTCCTTGGAGCCAGCTGGGCGTGCGGGCAGCGAACGTGGCTGCCTTGGGTCTGCCGGATGACCAGCGCCATGGCTTGGATGGCCCTGGGCTGCGTAGGTGCCGGCTTGCCTCGCCTGGGTCTCTGCCATGTTGACACCGTGCTGCCACGGTGGCGGCTGTCTTGCAAAGGATGTGTGTGCCGAGCGTGGCCGCGGCGGCTGCGACGGGGTCGAGGTTCCAGAGCCAAGTGCAGCACAGGGTGTGTGCATGACCTGCGGGGTCTCTGCCTCTGGCATCCTGGAAGATCGTTGTTTCTGCAGCTCCTCGGCTGCGTCGAGTGGTCATGAACAAAGATCTAAGCAGATGTAACCCAATGAGCACACTGCGTGCAGTGTAGGGACTTGCTGGAGGAACGCATCCCACTCGTTCTGCCCAGTCCGGCATGGCGCCTGTGAATGCATGTCAGGGGAGCTTAGAGCTTGCACACATGTGCAAGACGCCGACAGAGCCAATGACAGGCCTGGCATGGTGCTTGCCATTCCATTTCCGCAACAGTCGGTGTGTGCGCTGGCCGAGAAGACTGCGCCTACGGTCAGCGCAACAGCGGGCTGTTCACGGCAAAAGCGAATGAGTAGGCACACGAGTCACTCGATCAAAACAAAGGATGACGCGCCTCTTGCAGCATTGCTTCCCACTCTTGATCGGCAGAGCTGGACGCCCTACCCGGATTCCATGCTGGTCCGCGAGCTGGCCGGTGGGACCCCTGTATAGAACAAGCAATGCTCGACTGTCCCAACACAGCTGAAACAACAACAGCTTCAGGTATGCCAATGGGCCCGGCCACCTGCTGCATCAACGCTTCCCATTCCTGGTCCGCCGCACTGGGAGCCCGATCCACACCCATTCCAGGCTTCGGAGGCAGTCGCTGCGGCTGTGCCTGCAGGGAGCAGTGCCATGCAAGGGCTGCTATGAGGGCAATTGACACACCTGCTTACGGCAGCCGTGTGCGACTGCACAATTCCTGCAAGATGACTATTCCCATTGCAACGTGCTTCTCATAGTGGCAGCATATGAACAGTCTCTCTTCAAAACGAGTCACCGTGTGTCCAAAACCAGAAAATGGCTTTGGTGAAGTGTCGCTCGTCGAGAGCGGGTGTGAAAGCATTCATGGATGCGTGGCACTCGCATAGTTTCATGAGCCCATGAGCCACCTGCTGCATGAACGCTTCCCATTCCTGGTCCGCTGCGCTGGGAACCCGATCGGCACCCATTCCAGGCTTCGGAGGCTGTCGCTGCGGCTGCACCTGCATTCAACCCAAAGCGCATGAGCCGCAAGACTCCTGCACGAGCATGTTGTCCCCCGCTTGTTGTTGATTGGCCTTCTGGGATGGTCCATCTCGCAGGTGGCACATGAAAGAATGGCGGTGTTTCGGCTCTCTTCTTAAAGTTTGAAAGGTCACAAACCGATTGCCCACCTCTGGCACAGATGGTCGGGGGGTTGCCCCACCCCGCGGGGTGGCGCCAGGCGTCCGACCAAGTGCACCTGATTCTTCGCTCCGCCTCAACTCCGCCGAGGATCGGACACAGCAAAAATGAAACTGTAATGTTAGACACGACACAAAAACTGTGTTTTAAAAAGCAATCAGGCGAGGCACAAACCGTCAGTTGTAATGGTGCTGTAGTCCTGCTAAAAATGCTTGCAAAGTGTGCTGAGCCCAAGACGCGACGTCCTCCAGAAGCGCTTCGCGCCTGTGCTTGCAAGGAGAGTCCCCAGGAAGAGTTCTTGCAAAACCACAGGGGGCTGACAGGGGGTAACGTCCAGTTGCACGTCTAGCGCCTCAGAGGCGGGCTCTTTGGCCATAAGCAGATTTCCAAACAGAAGCCAGGGGGCAGAAAACCAACTGGCAGTCCGAAGGAGAGAACCGCCTCCTCCAGGCTATCCTGCCGAAGTCTGGTAGCCAAGGGGAGTGACTTCCAAGGCGGATCGTGCAGACAGGTCACCGCACGGACTTTCTTCGCTGATGGTGTGCGGAGGTAGCCTGCAAAAGCGAGAGCATTCAAACAGCCGAAAGTTGCCCTTCGAGGTCATGCAGCCTGCATTGATGGTGAAGGCCAATTCCGACGGCGTCAGCTTCTGCTTGACCTGGGCATACAAGGTTACAGCCGAAGGAAACAGGTGTGTCGTGCATGCATCCGTCATCCGTCCCTCCGTCCGTCTGTCCGTCCATCCATCCATCCATCCATTCATCCCTCCGTCCATCCATGCATCCATCCGTCCATCCCCCTGTTAAACTATGCGGCACCTCAAATATGTATGCGCTGCTGCTTACAGAAGCATACTGCATTTGCGTACATAAGTTCTGGACATGTTCAAGCTAATGCCGGCACATGCGAACAATACATGTAGACATGAGCACATGTTCAACCGTGGGACGGTGCATGCATGCCCCGTGCAGGCACGTGCGTACACAAGGTACATGTGCTCCCTAAGTCCGCAAAGCCTACTACCTTGCAGGAAAGCGACCATGACAATGCTCAGCACGCCATCGGGCAAACAGATCCCTACCTGAATCACGAAGTCGCGTGCAAGGGCAACAGATTGCACATCAAATTCGGCTCCAAGCAATCTACTCAAAACAGGGGCTGCCACAGTGAGGAGGACCATGGGAGATCGCATGTTAACCTCAGTCTGACGAAATCGAATCAACAATCAACGTGTTGAAGAGCCAAAGGTCCCTAGCGAATGTCTCCACCGAAAGCAATACCAGGCGAGTACTTGTAGGTTTAGGGTTTAGGCCGTTTAGGGTTTAGGGTTTAGGGAACCGAAAGCAATGGGACTTTCAGCCTGCAAACCTGCGAATTTCTCTCCGAAGATACCTTGTGGCCTTGAACTGCGGCCAAGAAGCAGTTCTGAACTGCTCAGGGAGTACTGTAAACTCCTCAAAGCACAGCGACGGAAGAATCTTGGAAGATGTGTTGCCAGGGCTTGGCAACTCATCCGCAACGAGTACAGTTTTGGGATCCGAACTCATCCACCCTGTAACAAGGGCATGCGGGCATGTTCAACACCCACCAGAAGATTCCACGGCGATCCCCGAGTTTACTTGTCGAAGCACCAGACGAACCCCCAAGACCCATCTTCAGACAAGATTCAGTGAAAGGTCGAGTAGTATCCTCGGAAAAGGCCAGGCGCAGACACTGCGAATGAAATTCATGCAAGACTGTCCAACATCAAGGTCTCTGCATGGGCCACGGGCTAGCCAATCACAGCCTAAAATCGGCATGTGTCACGACATCACAAGGTTTTGGTGACCTTCGACGGAAGCGATAACTTGGAAGAGGAACCCATTCCAAGCCGAACGGGGCGAATCGAAAATGGATGCTTATTCCCTCGGCTGTGCTTCAGTTCGCCAGAAGATCTCCTCTTGTCCTTGTCTCAACCTTGCCTCCACTCACTTGGCTGGTTGGGTGAGCACATCTCTTCGCCCGTGCACTCCAAGTTCCCGCAACGGTGTTGAAACATGGACTCTACCATGCTCTTCGATAACTTTTGTGGGTGGCCTTGGAACGCGCACCTATTGCACACATTCTGCCTCGCACTTTCTCATTCCGTCTGCAGGCTTTGCTGGAGGAACCCAACGAGATGTAGGTTGCGACTCTAGCAGAATCTGACTCTTCCCCAAGAAGCAACGAAGAGACCAACTCCACTTTCGTTAAATACTAGTAGCACCAGCCACAAAAAAGAACTGCAACGGGGCTGCAATCCCAGGAAAAGTGGTCGAAACAACAAGAACGTAGGTATTGTGTACAAGTTGCCGGCCTGCAGGCTTGCTTTCTCTGTCTCTTGCACTCACTCTCTCGCCTTCAGCAACCCAAGCCCAGAGGGCAAGCACATGGTCGTTGCCTCTTGACGTTCGCAAGCAGTCTCCTGCTGCTAGCTTCGGGCTGGGGCTGCGCGCTGCTAAGTTCAGAGTTCCAACTCAGCCACGCGTCGACGATCAGCTTGTACTGTTCCCGGATCTTCCTTGCATGCTCTTCCCTGCGCTTCCTTGGATCTTGCTGACAGAAGGCACAGTCCTGTGAGGTGCTACACTTGCGCGTCAAGTGACTTTTGCCTTAAACTGTTTGAGTGCTGCAAGGTGGGGGAGCTTCCGCTTTGGATACTTGTATGCCCTACCAGCAGCAGCCATCTTGGAAGGCATGACCGGGGCCACGAAGTGTATATCAGATCCGCCAAGCGCATGAAGACAACTTCATCCGCACGCTGCAATCGAGACACCCCACCACCGGGATGCCAGTATCGAGGTCCTGCTTCGCAGCCTCACGCGACTTGGAAGGTTCCGGCATCGCCGCATTAAAGCCGCTGCCGGATAGCTCGGCACATTTGCCTGACTGACCCTGCCTGTAGCATGCCTTCTGCATCCTCTTCCAGCAGTACCCGAACCTGCGGGCACAGGGTCCGAAAGGGATCATGCCGGCTGGAATAACGACGCATAACAGGAAGGGACAGTATGGAGGGGCAGGGAGGGCCGATAAGACCCCTCTACCTTTCTCGCTAGGATTCTCATTTCTACCTGCCATTGCGTGCTGCGTCGGCAGCCTGCATCTCGAGCATGTTCTGGAAGGTGTACTTCTGGCTTTTGGAGGTCTTGGCACGGGCAGCAAAGGCAGCCAGTTCCAAGTCTTTGGAGATGCACCAGCATCAGCAAAGGCAAATCACCAGCCCAAGCCCAAAGATACCACTGGCAGCAGGTGGCCATCGAGAAGCATCGATTCGAAGCAAAGTTCCTTGGGACCGGACTGCCGTCTTGGCCATCTTCTCCGCCCCAGTTGTCACCCTCAGACAGGATTTGATGAAGCTGAGAGTTAGGTCGGGAAGCGGTGAGCAAAACTGTTTTCCTGCAGCACCTTCGCCGCGCATTCAGCAATTCAGCATGCATCTCCCATGCGTAGCAGCCATTCGGAATGCGGGCATGTGGCTTTCGGAGAAGATGCATTGCGGCTCCTGCCAAGGCATGTGTATGCTGAGTCGGCTTTGCTACGTGTGCTGGATTTTCTCTGCGTCTTCGGATCGCGGACAACATGAGAGCCAAACCGCCTTCTTTTCTCCAACCCCACAGCACGCCTCGTTTGATATCCAGGCTGTACTATCAAACCGAAAGTATACAAGTAAAGAGCGAACACGTTGGGGTCCTAACAACCGCTGCAACAAACGTGCCTGCACCTTGCTCTGGTTACTGGCAGTGAGGACCAGAACAGATTGGAGAAGGGCTTTTGTGTGCATACCAGGGCTGGTTGCCTCCAAACCCGCGCCACTCCGAGCTCTGCCAAATTTGGGTGTTCGTTCTTTTGTGGAGGAGACCTTTATCCAACTGCTGGAAGCAGCTGAAAGCTCCTAAACCAGGAGGAGACGGTGGTCTGAGCCCTGAAACAGGAAACCACCAACTTGCGCTTCACCTCCGAACAGCTGGACTTGAAGATCAGAAGCCCTCCAGCAGCATTTCAGATAACACCGACACTCCAGTACGTGTTGAAACAAACCGTCCTGGTGGCGGCTTCTGGGCCCGAGGATAGTATACAGAAGGCGAATTACAACGAATCTCGTTTTTCGGAACTAGTGGCCAACGCGTACGAATCATGATTTTTGCCCTGCCAGGGGTAGGACGAACTGAGGGCTGCTCGGTGACTGAGGGCTGCTGGAAGGGATGCCAGATGACTTGGAGCATTCTTGCCATGCATACGTGCGCAACCTTACGTGCTGCTGGTCCAAACGCTGGGTTCAGCTGATGCCCGAAACAAAAACGCATCTAGTAACTACATGCAGTCTCCAAGCTCCTGCCGATTTTGTGCTGGAGCTTGAGCCACTCGGCAGCAAGCACGACTGATGTCACGTCACAACCCCCTCTGTCCGCACAATAACCTGGCAGCGCACGTCACATGTCGGGGTTGGTGCCGACGGCGCATGCCCCGAGCAACTTCCTTCAGCCCCGAAAATGACAGTGCGGAGACGAGGAAAATCCATCATCTCAACCCCGATAAGAGAGATGATACTCCGAAAGCCCGACGTCTTATCATTATTTTTCTCGGTTCTTGTTAAGCCGCTTGATTTGAGATGCCATACTTCAAACATTTAGCAGAATAATGAATCAAGCCCGCTAACAAGATCCCTGTCTCAAGGTTTCCTGTTCTGTCAAACCGAATCTTCAATAGTTTAGAATGTGTGGGAGTCACTGATGTCCCTGTGAATCCACTACCCACAACTCAAACAAGCTCGTAGAACGTACCACCCTCATAAGCTCTCTCAACTCTCTACGACCTGCGGAGCCTGATGCCTGTAACCCCTGCAAATACGAATAGCATGCTGACCTGCGTTCTAGCCAAGCTCAGAGTTTGGGTAGAATCTGTAGAATATGGCTCACAAAGTTCCGAAGTGTCGTGTCGATCGGTCTTGGTCTGGCATGCATTTCGCCACCGCTCGCAAGCGACATCTCGTCTTTGGGCGTCTTTGGGTTCGACTTGGTGCATCAGAACCAGTGTACACGAGCTTCCGAGATTCCGAGGCTGTGCCGCTTCTGGGCGCGGAGCTTGCTGCGAACCGGCCCAAGTGCATCCTGAGACTCCTGAAACCCTCAAACAAGGAACTTCGCGCGCTGCAAGCATCCGGATTCCGAGACGTGGATGAGATGGGTTCTTGGCAGTAATTAGCTGCAGCCTGGCGCATTTTTGTAGTTGTGTAGCTTGAGAAATGGAAAAATGCTGCCGAGTGGTCTAAAGCTCCGTACAGTCAACACATGTGCCAGACGGTTTTCGGGAGTCCATCATCCGTAACTGTCAACTCGCAATCTGCTCAGCATACTCAGCACATCTCCTCCGCCTCGTGGAAACGAGGTCGTTCTGACGACTGACAGTCGGGGGGGTAGGCTTCAGGGTCTGGATGCTTTGTTGCCAGAGATCTTGTTGTTATTGCAGGGCTTCTGGTTCGTTGACCGCTGCTTGGAATTTCTGTGCAAACCGCCAAACAGGTTTGCGCCGATCTTAACAGTGGCTGCATGACCTTTCTGGGCATCATGTGCTGACCCATCCAGAGCATCAGACTCCACGCAAGATGCGCCAAACGGCGTCATCCTAGCCTGGGCGCAGTCTTTCGCCCTAGTTTCATCCGGTTGCGGCAGTGACCCCCGCGCAAAACGACTGAGATTCTGCTTTGGTTGATAACTTCTTGCATATTGTGGATCCGAATCGAGGCAGAATCTTTGTATGGCTCGTCTTTTGGAGTGAGGTGCGGGATGGCTCGGGAGCCTTTGCCCCGGTCTACAAGTGGATGAAAGGTTGCGATGGTGTGGGAGATGCCGCTCCGGGGACCTTGAGCCTTACAGTCTCATAGTAGGGCTTTCCCGTGCTTTTGTGGTAGTATACTGTATGTATACCTAGACTTGGGGCACTCCCGTGCTTTTGTGGTAGTATACTGTATGTATACCTAGACTTGGGGCACTTTAGGAGAATCATACCGCTCATTGTAGCAACCAAGAAATCCGGACCCTTTGCCGGACTTTGGGCTCGGCTCCGGCTTCGGCTGTTGCCTTTGCCCCTTTGTTTCTTGAGGAATCCTGAAGCTTGGCCAACAAGCCCTGCGGCTTCAAAGATCTCAACCTGAACTTGCCATGGTCAGCGCTTGAAGCGGTGAAGGGAACAACTGAGTGCCTTCATCGATTGCAGTTCCACCCAAGCCCACTTCTAGGCGGTTGGAAAACGGCTACAACCTGTGAAAGTGCACGGCCCTGCCCAGAATCTGGGTGCGGAGCTGAAACTCCAGCATGATTTCCTGACATGAGACGCAAGGAAGGGAAGCACGTTGCTATGCCTAGAAGGCCAACGAATGCTGAGGCTGCAGGATGCCAATGCAAAACCTGCCGTGAGAACAGACTCGGTCTTCAGCAGCTGTTTCATCACATCCACTTCGCCTGGGGCTGACTTCAGCGTTGCCACTCATGCCAGCTAGTTTACCAGGGCGAAAACTAGGCTTGGAGTCGCACTTCACGGATTTCTCTTTAGCGTGCATATGGAGTCCTGCTACTCGTGGTCAGGTGTGGCGGTCAAGGCATTCGAGATGCTGTGTCGCCACCCGGCCGTGCATGAATGAGATGCCCGCACAAACCGAGGACCATCACAGAGAACTGGAGTGCGAACTGCATGCACGCAGAGATCCCGGCGCTCACCGTTGACCGAGCAGATCTGGTCCTCCTTCACCACCTCCAAAAAATCCAGTTTATCAAACTCGGCCGTTCCTTGTAGTGAGATTCCCTCCACAACCTTGGAAACCCGGTCCCTCTCTCTTACCCATGCATGCGGCAGGCCGTGCCGATGCGATACATTCCCCACCCTGCTGTCTCAGGGATATTCTGAACCTTTGCACGTCCAACAGCAAGCTGACGTTATGAAGAAGTAGAGAATGATCCCCAGCCTGCAATGACATCACATATGCGCTGCAATGCACGTTTTTCGCGATCGGCAGCTCGAACAGCCAGAAACTCATCGTGGAACGATGCGCCCTCCATGTGTCCATAGAAGCATGAGGATATCGACCATCTCATGCAACCTAGAGCCCTAGTGACCTGGTGGTGACGACTGTTCCAGCTGCGACCTGTTTGCCTAAGATTGCAGTTGTCACCACCTGACACACACAGTGCTCGTAGCAGTCTCCTTGCAGCTTGGAGTATGTGTGAATCGAGAGCCTTCTTCATCGGTCGGAAGGACACTGCCAGCACAGCACTCTGCATCCAAGATTTTCGAGGCACAAAGGCTTCAGAAGTTGGATCTCTCGTTCGCAGACTTCTGAAGCCGGAAGTACCACTTCGCGAAAACATTACCAGGGCCACGAAGTCAAGATCTCACTGAAGACCCGTTTCGGGCATATCGCCTCATGTACACGTCCTAGCCTTGTCTGGTGATGTGCATTGCTCTCGTGGCCCGACACGATCTGCAGGGCAGATCACAGCTGCTCAGAACGAAGGAGCTGTCCAAGGGATCACAACTAACTATTACTGGGACGATCTATGAGGCATAGGAGATCTGCAAAGCTGAATCCTGACGCGTTGGCTGATCTACAACTCCTTCGGACCACTCATTCAAAAAAAGATTTGCACCACGCGGGGCGAAGGTGATCAACGAAGGCCTGGCGAGGCCCGTGGAACTCGCTGCGGTCGTGGACTCTGTAAGCACGTACATCACCCACGGAAGGATCCCTTTGCTGCTGAGAGGAATCTGTGCAGAAGAGTTGCATTCGCTGTGCCTTCTCCCTTCGTACCAGCTAAGCCACCTGAAGACCAGACGTTTCCAGACGTAACTGAATCACCTCCTGAGAAGAGAGAGCAACAAGAACCTGTCTAAGGTCTGAATTCCTGGACATGCTGGGGAATGGAATAACTCGAGAGCCACCAAAAAGCGCCGACGAGCCTTCTCAGGCTTTCAGAGAAAAGCGTGTCTCGCCTTGCAGGATTACAATTATCACGGAGATCCCTGCAAAGTCTTTCGACCAGGGGGCTCATTACAACCTGCAGGGCACTTCCGCTTCTACCTGCTTGGTATACCGAGTCTACCGAGTCCATTCGTCTCCTGCACAACACATGGTCTAATCTCTCTTGCGCTTGCCAGGCACCCTTCTCGAAGAAGCCCACAATCTGGTTCGCCGCCGCTACGCCGGCATTGTCGTTTGCCTTACGCGCCGCAAGGCGTTCAACGCTGGGAGTAAAGCCTGCGACCTGCCGCTTGACATCTCGCCCACCCACGCAGGTTCCAGCATATAGACATTGAAAATGATGATAGTGGTACCAGTACGTACAACGCACATCTGAGGCTTGCTCCTCGGCTGTCTGGGCACCCATCTTCTTCTTCGTGAAGATCAACCTCTTGCCATACCTCAGGTCCAGCACATCGGCGTGCAGGAAGATGTCGGAAGCTGGGACGAAACAAGTCTTGCACACAACGAACACCAATAATCTTGGCTCTAGTCAACTGTTACCAAGACATCCGAAAACAATCACCATCAACAGCATTATCACTTGCAGAAGCAGTTTTTTCTGTTCTAACGTATTGCTACGCTGTGGTCTCTTGTCATCGTGATTATCAGAGTCAAAAGGTAGTTGGCTTTAGCACAGCTAGTATGCAGATACTTCCACTACATCTCATCTTCGTAATGCATGTCATCGTCAACATTACCATGTTCATCTTCGCCATGATCAAAACAGAACCATCATCATCATCACTATCACCATCTCCTTTGCTTGCTTGATTCTCCTCTTACTGCCACAGCCCCAGCAGACACCGCTGTTGCGACCCCGAAGCAGTAGTGGTGGTAGTAGTAGTGGTAGTGCTAGTGGTAGTAGTAGTGGTAGTAGTAGTAGTAGTAGCAGCAGCAGGAGTAGTAGTAGTAGTAGTAGTAGTAGTAGTAGTAGTAGTAGTAGTAGTAGTAATAGTAGTAGTAGTAGTAGTAGTAGCAGCAACAGGAGTAGTAGTAGTACTACTACTACAACTACAACTACAACAACTACTACTACTACTACTACTACTACTACTCCTGCTGCTGCTTCTTCTACTACTCCTGCCACCGCTACTGCTGTTGCGACTGCCACTGCGACTGCTACTGCTACTGCCACAGCTACTGCTGCTGCTTTCTTGTCCGGCTACACTGTTACACCGGCAGTTCCGAATTGTCATACACCAAGTTTACTCATAAAAGCTTGTCATGATGCTTGTCGCCCACGGCGGCTTTGAAGGGCTCAATGTCCTCACGCTGACGGTTCGCGAGAACCAAGCAGGAAAATCCAACTCGGACTCATTGTAAAAAACTATGGCTCATGAGAACAGAAGCACCGACACCGACACTAGTAACAAAAGCGACCGTAAGTCTGCCACTCAAAATGCAGCCAGTGTAGTGATTTCATCAGATTGAAAGCGGATCGACTATGGCTGAGGCTCCCAGGGTCTTCTTGCACCGGGCTTCGAGTCAGGGACAGTGGAGGCACCCGTCCCCTCTATTCCTTCTTAAAAGTTCTTGAGGACGCCATGCTTACGTGCTATCTACCGATAATTAATCCCAATCTAGTTGGTCACCTATCTCTCATGTGTGTACGTTTGTATGTATGTATGTCTCTATGTATGTATGTATGCATGCATGTATGTATGTATGTATGTAACTAGCTAGATAGGTATGGATGTACGTATGTGTGTGTATGTGTGCATGATTCCAACTGCGTGTACATATGTGATGGAAGAAAGACAGACAGATAGATAGATAGATAGACATACATACACACACACTCACATATGTACATACATACAGACATACATACATACACACATACATACTTTTGACTGTGTGCGTCATACATACATACATACATGCATACATACATGCATATACATGCATACATGTATACATGCATGCCTACATATTTGCAAACATTGGGTGTATGCAACTGCATGCCTGCATGTTACAAGAAAGTTGAAGGCGGTCCCAGAGTGCAAGGCACGCAAAGACGACCCGAGCTCCTTGGGTGCCACGTCGCAGAGGTAGCAGAAATCAGGACGGGTTTTGAGAACCTGGCCGAATGCAAACACGTTACGCCCTGGATCAGGGAGTCTCTGTCTGGGCTTTGCAACAAGCCCTAATGTCAAAAAGCCCTAACGTTGCACAGGATCCATGCCCCTCGCACGTTCTCTCCATCAGGCCCACACAATCCCAAAGGTCAAGGCAGAACAGCAGGGTAATTCGGGTAATGCCATACTGTGCAGCAGTCTGCGAGCTCTTATATAGGGGCCTTAATAAGTAGAATAGGGTTTTGGGGCCCATTATACTATAGTTATAAGAAGGAACCCCCAATACAGTATCGGTAATTAGTTAGGCCCCTGTATTACAATACCCCTCTGGATCCCTTATAGTAACCCTTAAAGGATCCCTTAAAGGATCCCTATGGGTATTAGTTACGCCCCCTATATTATCCGCCCTTATGCAAAAAGCTGAAGCTCTGGCCTCGATCATGTCTGCTTCGTGAACCACCTCAGGACCACGAAGGGTTTAATGCTTAGAGTTTAGGGTTTAGGGCTTTGGGTTTAGGGCTTAGGGTTTAGGCTTTAGGGGTTTAGGATTTAGAGTGATGTTGGATACTACGCTGCTGGGTCCATGGCAAGCCTTACACCCATAAGGAGGCATCAACCAGCAAGGTGATGTCAATCGCAATGAAAAAACTCAAAAAGTCTGGTTTTTCGAGATACCACCACTATCGCAATGGACCCTTGAAACACCGTGGGCCACCCTAGCACCCTGCTGCTCGAGGCCTCCAGTCGCGCGGTGTTGATCAGTGTGCCGCCCTTGGGCATCTTCCCCAGCAGCTCCTGGACTGCTGGCTTAGGGATTCAACTTTTTTTTGAAAGCTCCTTTTCGTGACTGCAGATCAGCTCCAGGATTTAGGCTTTGGGTTCACCAGGAGAGGTGCTCACAGAACACAGAGCTGCCACGGGTACTTGTGCCGAGATCGTCAAACAACCATGATGCGTGATCGGAACAAAACTAACAACGATGATTTTCATACGGAGCCAAGGCCTTTGTTCGGGGCTATGGGCGTACTGGCACACTCCCGTCTCGTTGAATCCAAGAACATAAAGGCCACACCATCGGGCAGTGTCAGAGGATTGGTGCAGATATACCCCGACATCACCCGTAAACTCGTTTTACGATCACTTCGAGCCTGTTCCGTGTCCCTGGAGTGGTTGTCAAAATTAAGGTCCCGTGTTGGGTACCCTCAATATTAGGTGCCGTATTATTAAATTATAATAAGGACTCCAAAAAGGACAATAATTTTGACAACCACCCATATCGTTTATGGAAGCTTGAAGCTTGTCGAACATAAATTACATAAAGCAACACCAACTGTTGGAGGAAAGCCCAACACGGATCACCTCGAGCTGAAGTGCCTTGTTGATCGAGGCTTTCGTCTCGTCGGTGAGAGGCACGTGGAGAGAGACCTTGATACGGACACGCTACGGCAATAAGGATGTCATCTGGAACGCGTCGTTCTTGTTCAAAGACACTTCTTGGCCAGAATTCAACACTGACCCGGCACGGCAGCCCTTCTCGAGAAAAAGGCTGTCGAAGCTCTGGTTTTAAAGCTCCAGAATGTCAAGTGGCATACTGGTGTTCGAAGAGGCCCGCGACAGTCGCTACGGGCTCAGCCCCCATCTCCTCTTCCAAGGTTGGGCTTCCGAGTCCCCAAAGCTTTGCTTCCCGATGTTTTTTACGAAAGAAAGCATTGCACAGTCACTCTTGGCATGAGAGCAACACGGACGCTGCCAGAAGAGGGCGCGAAGGAGCCTTGATTTTGTCGGCGGGGATGTAAGGATCGTAGGCAAAGCTCTTCATGCCAAAGCCTGGCTAGCCGGCTAGCCAAGTCGGCAAAGGCGAAGCACTCAAAGCACCGTCCCTCCCATGTGTCAACTGGAAGCAGAAGGCTTGCTAACTCGCGAGCCCTTCCAACGGAGACCTTGCGCCAGCTTGTGAACAGCACGAGCAACTGCTCCGAAGCCGTAGAAGGCGATCTCACGGTTCACCTCACAACATCACTTCTTGGAAATCGCACAGCACACTGCCACCCGAGCCGCCTAGCGCCTCGAGGACATCATACCAACATTAAACCAGGTTGAGTATGATGGTGACTCCACAACCATCTTCTTCCCTGCCTCATGGCCATGGTCATGACAGCTTTGATATTTCTAGTCAAATTGGTCTTGACGACTGATCCATTAACTGTCAGGGTCATTATTCAGTGTACTCCTGGCGGTCGTCCGTGTGGTAGTACATATAGTGCTCGTAGCGGTGAAAGCAATGGCAGCAGCCGCAGAAAGTAGCAGCAGTAAGACGAGTAGTGGCAGTAGCAGTAGCAGTAGCAAGAGTAGTCGTCTTCGTCGTAGTAGTTGTGGAAGCAGCCCGTCGTCGTCGTAGTGGTTGTAGCAGAAGCAGCATCAGCAGCAACAGCGCAACGCAGTAGCAGTAGCCGTAGAACTAGAAGTAACAGCAGCAGCAGTAGCAGTAGCAGCAGCATTAGAAGTAGGAGTAGGAATAGGAGTAGGAATAGGAGTGGGAGTAGGGTGTAGTAGTAGGTAGTAGTCGTAGTCGTAGTCGTTGTAGCAATAGTAGAAGTAGCAGTAGTAGTAGTAGTAGTAGTAGTAGTCGTCGTGGTGGTGGTAGTAGTAGTAGTAGTAGCAGTAGCCGCAGCAGAGCGGCAGCAGCAGTAGTTGTAGCAGCAGTAGCAGCAGCAACAGTAGCTGAAAAAGCAGTTGTTGTAGGAGCAGCACAGGAGCGGCCGATTACTGCAGGCCAAGAGCCAGCTCGAAACCGCTGGTGCCATCGAAGTTGTTGCGGGCACTAACGATCATCATGCCTCCGATGCAACCGAATCGTGGCTTCCAGGGTTTCGCAGTAGCAAGCTTGCTGCCGCCTACTGCACAGATTCAAGGCGGTCGAGGCACCAAAGACGAGCTCCGCCACGGCATTGGCATTCTGACCGGGAGTGTTCATGGCCTCAGTGACTCAGCGGCCACGGTTGCAACTCAGTTTGTTGAAGGTAGGCTCGTGGTTTCAAGCAGGCTGCAAGATGAAGGATGTAGCTCTCATAGCATAAGACCAACTCTGACATGCATGGGTCTGGAATCAGTTTGAGTGTGTCCGCTTCTGCCAATGGCAGATGTCCATGTGCAGACGAGCAGAAACGATCACTTCGAAACTCCCACATTTCCCTGCCCACGATGAATACGAGTTCAGTTAATGGCTGAATATGTTTTACAAGGGGTAGCTTTATGTCGCCCCAGGGCGCGTGAAGTCGTGACACCGCATGGTCACGCGGGAACGCGGGAAGTCACACCAGGGCGTTCGAAGTCACACCACAAGCTGCACATCGCTTTCCAGCACCACACACAGGCTTTACTAGGAAATTAAGTCACGCAGCCTTGAAAAGTGTGCCAGTTTGGCAGCTAATCACCATGTGCACGCGCTTTCAAGCATGTAGCAAGAGCAGTCAGATACGTCGGGAATGCGCATGATTCCAGTGTTGAGGCTGTGGCAGGGATTGTGTTCGGCGTCGATCAGGCTGACCGAGACCCCCCCCCTCTGTTAAGACTCTTTATAAAAAAGAACGACTGGTCAGCACCCAAAATTTCCGCTTTCCAGCCGGGAGCACCAGTGCCCGTTGCGCCCAAAACTTCACGATTACACTGCTAGACCCCATCAAAACGCAGGAGGGCTAGTTGGACGGGGGGGGTGGCTGGTGGTAGTAGTAGTAGTAGTAGTGGTAGTCGTGGCAGTAGCGGCAGGTAGCAGGAGGAGTGACAATGACGAAGTAACAGTCGCAGTAGTAGCAGTGGCAATTGCAACCACCCATTTCCCATGTAGACGCTCGATTTTGCAAGCAGCCGCTCAAGAAACACATCAGTGGCATCGCAGCAAACACCAAATCAAAACCATCCATTCCCCATGCAGACGCTCCATTCTGCAAGCAGCCGCTCAAGAAACACATCAGTGGCATCGCAGCAAACACCAAATCAAAACCAGCCATTCCCCATGCAGACGCTCGAGATCTAAATCCGGATCTACACGCAGGGAGAAACCTAGCAACGAGATCACGAACAGGCGCTAAAACCCATCTAAAGCAACCACCAGCCAAAACTTCATGATTACTTGCGAATATTGCCTCATTAACTCGATAGGGCTAGGATATGCTTATCCCCATGTCCACACGACAAGGTATGACTTCACACAGCGCGGTACGACTTAACACAACCCCCCAGTACTGTAGGAGGGTCTCTCTTGGTGCGCACACTCAAAGCGGAAACTGCCTGCACTCAACCTCTACGCAAGGCGCTTCGCTCGACAAGTTATTGGATGCTCTGACGACTGTACACAGCACTCCATGTCGGAACTGACATTGGGGCATCCGACAGTGATCCCCTTGCCCTCACAGGCCTGGCAAGATGAGAACCGCACAAGAGCATGGGACCGCCAAGTGCTCACTGCAGTTCAGATTTGAAAATTAGGGCTGGGAGGGTGGGCTTCCAGCGTGCTCGGACTGAAACCCCCATGCCTTCAGATCGATGTTGTCGTAGCCAGCGCCTGGAAAGTGCATGTGAGACTTGTGGGTAAGCGAGCATAGCCGAAGACGCGCAGACGTAGTCTTCCAAAGCCTATTGAAAAGCGGGATGACCTGCCTGCACGAACCACGATCTTCATCTTCGCAGCCTTGTCCAGCACTGCCTGCGCAAATGGTGCTAATAATCGTTTCTCGACAGCCATGTGCACGAACAGCTTAGCACAAAGCCTGGTCCACAATATCGCTGCGGATGATCATGGCATCGGCATCAGTCACAGCTGCAAGAAGATCGTCCTAACATGCATTCTCATATGTGCAATGAGTGGCACGGCAGAGGCTCCCACATGGCCTATCAGGCAGAAGCCCGGAAACGAATGACAAGTAACTGAAACGAACAGAGAGCACAAAATGCGAATGCACAATGAGCTGTTCATATCGCATATGCGAGAACATATGAAAGAGACAGAGAGCCCACAAAAGATGCCCAAAAATGTGACCAATCGAAGATCTGGACTCCCAAATGCCAGAGAAAAACAACCACGCCTGAAAGCATGCGAAAGGTGTGGAGTATGCGATCATAACCTGAGTTGGTGGATTGACTGCTGAGCAGCCTGACACCCAGATTCCGAGATGAGAAACGAATATTATCCGAAAGTCTTTCTTTCTGCACATTCTCTAAATCACAACATAAGGCCTTGATTCTGAATTTGCAACTAGCCGATACACATTCCTGTAACACATGCGTCGCAGATTCAACGCAAGCAAATAATGAAGAACATGGGTTCTGCATGGATTCCCTCAAGCCCTAAATTGGACGTCTCCATGATGTCCACTCGTTTCGGCACTGCGAGAGTCCTTGCTCTTGTAGTTTTCGAGCTTCTTCAGGGTGTAATTTGCAGCCTTTCAACTGCGGCCCAGCAGAAAGTCATCTAGCAGCAAAGGCACACGGCCTTGAGGACGTCTTCGATTTTGGTCACAGCAGCCGCCGCAAAAGCCTTCCAGATCAGCATGATCGTCCAGGCCTGACCCCGAAAGCTCTGGCCTTCTCGGTGGCCAGCAGAACCGTCCTTGCCTTGCCTGCCTGGCAATGCGTGGCGTGACGAAGAAGATCCAAAGAATGGAAGACGGAGCACAAGCTGCCGGTGCCTCTCCAGCCATGATTGCGGGTGCTACAAGCCGGCGATGTCCCAAAGAATGCTTCTAAGCCAAAATCTCGGATGCATGGTCGGGCCTTGCGGCAGAAGCATCATCCTAGTCATCCAGCCGCTGCAATTCCGTTGCTTCGTTTTTGCTCTGCTCTCCTCCAACTCCTCCTCCGACAACAACAACGACGACGACGACTACTACTACTACTATTAGCACCACTGGTGCTTTTCCTGGCCCTGCGTGGCAGATCATTCCCCAAGCGAACAAGGACTAGACCACAGCACGTCTGGACAGGAAACTGCCTGCCGAAGGTAGGCCAGGGATGAAGGAGCCTGTCGGAGCCTGCAGAGTTTCACGACATTCTCAAGAGCCAGCTACATACGGGGTTTTAATGCGAGGTTTAGGGCTTAGGGTTTTGGGTTTAGGGCTTTACATGGAAAAAGAACACGGTTAAGACACTAAACGGTGACAGACCACAGAAGAGCGCTGCAAGGCCTCACGAGGGCCACATTTCAGGGCCACGCCAACATAAATCTCGTAAGCAAACATCTGGCCGCGGGTAGCATGCGACCACGCAGAAGAGAGCAAGAGGCCGAAGAATCACGCAGCAAACTACATTACACCACTTCACTGAGTACGTAACAACCCCGTAGTGTTGCCACATGTTCACTACGTCCCTTGCAATGGCGGCAATGGACTTCAGAAAGGCCTTCCCCACCTCCACAAGGAACCGGGACACTGAAGACCCGACCCGTCGGCCAATGCAGGGCCATACTGAGGCCACGACATCGACTCATTGTGTTGATCTACAAGGCCTCCCTTCCTCGGGCGCAGATCACAGAAAGTGCTTCCTCTCACAAAGCCTGAAGTGAGAACGGGTCTGCGTCGGGCGTGACCCTTCCAAGAGAACGTCTTTTCGTGGCGAGGTCGCGGCGCAAGAGTGGCAGAGGATGGTCTGCCGGCTGGCTGCAGTCTTTACGGGTCTGTGCACCAAGGAGTCGCACCAATTGACGGGAACCAGTCTGACTGCACCCTTCAAGACTGCTCAGAGGTCTAACCTGCTCGGACGCATTGCTCTTCGGTACATCATGGCCAGCCGGTTCAAAAGTTCAAAGTTTAGACCTCGTGTCACAGAGCTCCTGCAGCAGAACCCAGGCAGGGCTTTGCCCTAGGATCACGCCGCCGGGCTGCCAGGAACTCGTGACAAGTGTGCCAAAACCGATTCTACGATTGTCGAAGCCTCATATGACGATAGATTACACGCAAGACTGCCCTCTGCTCCTTGCTTGGACTTCTAATGGCCCGGAGCTCCCGACTCAATCAGGACGCAGCCCTCGTGCCAAGTGATGCCCAGTTCCTCGCATCTGTCCTGGCAGCTGTTGGGTTTGCGACAGCTGCTTAGTATGATATACTATACTGTAGTATCAATTATATATACAACTGTGATATACTGTTCTATAGCTTCATATAATCACGTATAATATACCGTACTATAAGACTATAAGATACTATAAGCATGTAATGCTGTAGTAGTCTGGCAGGCTTGGTGGCCGAAGCTTGCGGGTCCCTCAGCTCTTTCGCTTCGGCACCGGGCTGCACGAAGACGTTCTTCACCTTCGGGATGCTGGGACGCCATGGTAGGTGTAGGGTTGAGGGTTCAGGGATTCGGGAATGTCGGACCACCGCGCTGAATACGAACGCAACAGACACACCCTCAGATGCGGTGTCATTGCTGCCATTTGCTGCCGGAGCTCCCCAAGTTTATGCATGTCGTCGATCACTGTGGCCTTGACCCCAGGGACTCTCTTGCGCATTGTAGTCAACCAGCTAAGCTTCGTCCGAAGTCGTAACTGCAGCGAAGGGGCTCCAATCTTTGGGTTCGCACACCTCTGAACAGTTGCGAATCGACCCTTGTTGACAATTGAGAAGAGATCTTCGAGTGGAGACATATCTCGGGCCTACTGACAATTCAGCGACCAGGGCGCAGATTCACTGCATCCAGTGGCACCGAGACATCAGCCAAAGCCTTCCTGAGGAAGCAAGGATCGTGTGAGGGGTGCTACTTCAAGCTTGTGCCCACTGCGTCTGCCTGCAGGGTTCTGCCTACTCGTGATCACAAATTCTTTCTGGGAAAACCCGGGTCCAGGTACAAGGTCCAAGTAACCAGTCTGGAAAGCTGCTGGACACAGATTTGCATTCGTGATACGCACGCATGCACTTGCTGAGCGAGGCAAAATATTGCTGCAACAGCCTGCAAGATTGTTCTCGAAACTCTTGCACATGCAGAACATGTTGCTCAAAGCATCTCAAAACCAAGCACCCCTTGCTTCGATGTTTGGCGAGGTTGAAAGCAAGCAGTTCCGAAATTCAGTAGGCATATGAGTCTATCATGCACTTGGTTGGGTCCATGCGCAAAGCGCGGCACACGCTCGCACCTAGGTCATGCAAGGTTTTCAAACATGTGTCAGCAAGTGCCGTGTAGAAGCCAAGCTGTTCGGAATGATCCTCGACTAAAGTCCATTCTACCGCCTGCATTGGTCGGAAGATGCACGGAAGAGCTCCCCGGGGGGCTCCTACTGCCAAATTCCCCTTTCGATCCCCGACCGAAAGAAACCCCTCAAGCCTCCAACTAAACATGTACAGGCTCGGCAGGCCCGGCTCTGCACTGCCCGAGGGATCAACGTGGCTGACATCTTTTCCCAGATCCTGCGCAGGATTCGGAGGAGTCTGCAGAATTCGGGAATGTCAGCTTACTATCGAGGGCTCTGACTACCTAGTAAGAGAAACTTCCGACAAGAAGCTGAGGCTTGCTTTCCCCATTGCTTGTGCCATGTGCAACGCGGCCTTTGCCTTTGATGCGTCAACTATTACTCTTAGTGTTATTCATATCGTTCTTGTTCCTACCACGACTGCCATCACATGTTATTATGCCATGACGGTAATACAGTCACCAGCACTGTTCCTACAATGCTAGTGTCGCGACAGACTATAATTACGAGAATGATTGAGATTGCCGCTGGCTCCTACTCCTACTGCCACTGACACTGCCACTGCGACTACGACTGCTACTGCTGCTTCTGCTGCTGCTGCTTCTGCTGCTGCGGCTGATCCTGCTACTGCCACTACTGCTGCTGCTTACAGTATCAAGATTCATCATTGCCATGCTCGAAAATTCCAGAAACAAAGTGAAAAGGCAAAAAACAGTACAGTACTAGCCACTGCAATAGCACGGCAGATCATAGCAAGTACCTAGTTTTACTGATTGCAACATCAAAGACCAGAACTAACAAAAGCCAACAACAAATGCCACGCACTTCTCTGCAAAAAAAGCTGTCGACCCAGGGTCTGATGAATAACTCCCACACCCCCGTTTCTTCAAGAGGTCGCTACTTCTACTGGTGCCATTCTCAGAACCAGAACCACATAAATGAACACAAGATGTGTGTCCTTTTGCCGGTCCCAAATATACTACGGCACCCTTATAAAACGGAACCTAAACAAACCCTAAATTAGAGAACTACCCCCACATGTTTACTCTTTCGAGCCTTCAACCGGGCCAAGAGCTGGACCACGAACTGCAGGGAGAAACAGGTCGCTGGGGCTTTTGGTTTAGGGTGTTTCGGGTTTAGGGTTCAGGGTTCAGTGGCCCTTTCTAGGGATTTGGGGTTTTGGGGGGGCTTAGGCTTAGGGGTTTATTGGTTTAGGGGGTTCAGGCGTTTGGGGGTTTAGGGGTTCAGGGTTTCGGCATGATGCTGTCATGACAGGGATACTGCGAGAGAAAACGGGATCAGAACAGACAGAATGACAGTAGCAACATTGGCAACTTAAGGGTGATACGAATGACAAAATAGAGTATAACAGTGGCAATGGGCACTCGTGGTCTCAGGAATCCATCGCAACGATGATTGGGAAAGTCATAACGGTCATAATGAGCATAAGAAGAAGAGTTCGAATCACTGTAGTAATAGTCATAAGAAGAAGAAAAAGACTAGTGAGAAAAGTGATAGAAATGATGCAACTAGAAGGCGAGCACACTTTCAGCAACAGCTAGAACAGTAAGGGGCAACAACTAGAACAGTAAGAGCAATTTCTGTCCAGATAGGCTGAATGGAAGTGTTGACCGCGGCATTAGCATCAATACTGCTCTTAGGCTTTTGATACTACTGGTTCCTGGTGTGTCCTCTGGGTGCGACAACGGCTGCTGACACAGCTGCGAAGCGGTTCTGTTCAGCATGCAACGCCCAGAACTCACACGACAACAACCCTGACTCGCCGGAAACCCGACACATCGCGAAATCCGACTCCGAATAAACCCGTGCATGTGAGGAGCTGGGTTGCTGCCACGACCGACTACAGCCCACCGGGGAAGCCTCGGATCCAAGCCAAGGTTCTGAAGCCCTGGTTGGAACGCTCGCCCAGGCCCAGGCTACTGTAGGCAAGAAGCCCTACTCCCTGCTCCCTACAGCCAAAAGAGCTCCCTACGGAATATGCTACCCCAAATATGAAATAGTAGGATCCTTATTTCGGGAACTCCCTACAGCCCAAAGTTCAACGGGCCGCTCGAGCATCTTCTTCCCGCTGGCGCAGGCGGCCGCAGGAGCCGCCATGGTGCCGTGGGCAACGCTCGGCTGCCAGAAGGGAACAGAGGATCAAGACAGTATCATTAGCAAAGGCTTACGGTTTTGGGGCTCATTATACTATAACAGCTATAACATCTGTCATTATAATTCTTGTAGAGAATGTGGATGCAGGAATTTTGATGGCTTTCCGGGCGTGGCGAGTCTGGGACTTGAGACGAACTGCCGTGGGCTCCCGCTGCTGTCGCTTGCTTAATCCAGAAAGGCTAAGCCGACCTGCCTTTTTATCTGTGCACCTGTGCACTGGCTACGATCAATATTCTGCTCTCTGTCGGCTGTTTCCAGAAGATGAGTCCCAAGCACGATATCGTGAACTAAGAGCTGGCCGCCCTTCACCACCTCGGCATTCGTCTTACTGAAAAGCTTGCACCAGCGCTCAGGCATGTGCAAAGCTTCGAAGACAGGCTCATCGGAAGACGTATGCAATGATGATGGTGCTGGGTGCTGGACATGTTTCAGGCCAATCTTGGTGTCAGGGCCGTTTCGATAGAGCATTACCTCGCGCATGGTCAGCTCAGAGAGCAAAGTGATGCACAGCTTTGCCCGGGAGTGCCTGAAAGAGGAAGTCTCCACCAGGCCCTTTTGGGAGCACTGGACCACCCAGAGGCTCCTGAAAACCCAAATAGAAGACCCAGGCCGGAAAAGCGAGCTTTTTCCTCCCACTACCACCCACCAAAGCGAAGACTGCCTCCGTGATTTGTCCTCCACTAGTGCTCTATTTCGGGATCGTCCTGCTCCACGCCTCGCTTGCAAAGAGCCTTGGCAACATATGCACAGGAAAGGCCTGGGACTTGGAATGACTCCACATGGCTGCAACCGCATCTACAACGTCTGAAGATGCACGCTAGCTCGTTCCCTCTCAGGCGAGTACCCTAACGCGCTCCATGGCAGTATGGCTGCCACAGCCAGGCTCCATTTGGATGAGAGCGTTAAGTTCGAAGACAGTGGAGAGACTTTGCTGCAGCGCATGGATGCACGTGACTCCTGTTTGTGACTTGGTGGCTCCAAAAAATCCGCCTCCGTAGAAGAAGGATGTGGCTCTCGCCTTTGGACTCCCTTGTCAAAACCGTGGCAGTGAAAGTGCCCGTTTTACCATGTTGCTTCGAGCAGCTCCCATCAGCAGGGGATACGGCTTGGACATGTTGGTAGCATCTTTCCCTCAAGTCTGCACACACTTGGCACCACAGGGCACCACTCGCCCTGGCCCCTATTTTTCTTACTGCATGCTGCAACGGGGCTTGAAGGAGGGCCGCTCACCAATTCCGCCATCCACCCTTGTATCCACCGCCCTTGTAGCCGTCACCCTGGCGAGAAATGCATTGAGACATGGTACTTGAGGTGAGTCAAAGCCGATCTGCATAAGAGGAAACCAAAGCCAAACCGACCTCCCAGTGCTGGTATGGTGGTCGCTGCTGCCCACCAAACGGCGATATCGGCCGCGTCTGGTCGGGGCTTTCTGGTTCCGTATGGCGCTCGGTGGTACTCTGTGGTGCTCTGTGGAGGTTGGTGGTGTTTTGTGGATGGGTCTGGGGTACTTGGGGGAACGGGATCACAGCTTCGCCGCACTGTTTGCAAGCAAGCAAACATCAGAAGAATCGATCTATAAACTTTAGTTCACTTCCTGAATCGAAAAACCCGAACTAGAGCAGCGCTCAAAAGGGGGCAACATAAACCGAAGCTAGAACGCCTTGCCTGGTACGGGCCCTGCTGCTGTGGCCATTGCGGTCTGATCTGCTGGGACTGCGCCTCGTGTCCCAGGGTGCTTGGAGGGTACAGGGTTTAGGGTTTGGGGTTTAGGGGGTAGGGTTTAGGGTTGTAGTTTCTGCGGCTGTACTAACGGATAACTCACAACAAGGGTGCCAAATCGGGAAGCTCGGACATTGGGTTCTGGACTGGAAGAGTGTACGCCCTGTATTGGTTGCACCCAAGCAAGCGCAGACGTCCGAGCTTCGGACGAAAGGCCGCGTAGGTCCGAGGGCAGTTGCCGCGGCCTGTGACTCTGCTCCCTGCTGCCCCCCAAGCCTGGCTATGCAATATGTGTGCCTGAAAGTTTGCGCGATGTCTACTTTCCTTGCGACTGCCTGAAACCTCATGTCAAACTTTCACAAAAGCTGTCACCTGCCCAGAGGCAACGATCTTCAGCTTGGCAGAGTCGTCGCCCATGTCAATGCGCCTGTTCCGATCTCTTCGGCTCTCCTGGCTGCGGTCGCCAAGGCCGGAGGCATCACGACAAGCGGATCGGATGCTGGGAGCCGCTGCAAGTCTTAAGGGCTTCTCGGCTGCAAGGACTGCGTGCATGATGTCGAGGACGACGGCAACAACGACGATGATCGTGGCGGTGCTGGTTATGATGTTCTGGTTGTGATGACGATGCGGAGTAGGAGCAGGAGCGGGCAGCTGTGGACGAAGCTTAAGATTAGAAGCGAACATGAGCCATGGTGTAGTCCATAGCACCCTCTTCGTACCCTTACAGCACCCTTGCAGTACGCTCTTTGTGCCCTTCTACTGCAATTCCGGTGCCGAACCACTTTGACCTTTCTGTGATACGTTTAGGGGTTGGCTCTGGTCAGATACTTAGGGGACTGAGGCATCTTGCACCGAAGCAACAGAGAAGATTCAAGCCCCCTCTCGAAACACATCGAAGAGAGGAAGCTCCGGTTTCAGTGTTGAGGCTGCCTCCGTCAGCATGACGAAGAGGTTCGTCGATTCGAGGTCATCTGGCAGCTGGGGCTCCAACACCTGGCTTCATCTGCACTGCATACACGATAGCCGATAGCATCCAAAACTCGTACTTCAAACACGAGAACCCACGAACCCTTCCCTTGCGCTGTTGCCTTGCTCTTGCCCATGATTAGCACGGTGTCGCTAACCAGGCCCACTAGCTCCTCGAGGATACGCAGGTTCGTCGAATCGAGGCTACCGGTTGCCAGGTGATGAGCTCACACGCTCCGAAGAGGACGGCACTGAAACGCAGCTGTTTTGTAGTTGCCCGGGCTCCTCGGAGCTGTCAACTCCAAAAAACTTGATGTTGAGAGCCTGCAATGCCGGCTGCGCTACTCCAACTGCGATGTCGAGTCACCGATGCTGGAGCAAGTCTACAGCCGCATTATTCAGCTTCTACCCTCTGCTTGAAGCTATACTGCACCACACCTCTGTTTGTCCATCCGTGTGATCACGGGCAGTATAAGGAAACGGACTGCGCCACGCAGTTTCAAACTCTACTGTAGAAGCTGCTGAAAATAATTATTTTGCTCGGTCGGAGTTTGCACAACTGAAACATAAGAGCCTGCACCTAGACTCGGAACAGACTGATGGTAGGGTTCGGGTTCGGCAGGTTGGTAGCGGCAACGCACCCTGCTTCACTTTGGGCAATGAGCCCAATAGAATCTCCCCATGCCAGCCTTCTTGTAATACTTCTGGTAGTAAAATGCCAGGTGCTCAACAGGCACCGCGACCTCAGGGCATAACTCCCCCCGGGCACCGTCACCACCAGCAGCAGCGGCAGCGGCAGCAGCAGCAGCAGTACAGACAAACACCACCGGGACATCTCTCTGCAAAGCACGAGCCAGGATTCAATCGGCTGCCCAGTGGATTTATGTCAACTAGCGGGATGCGGCTACGCAGAAAAGCCGGGCCATTGGCCCGGCCGGGATCATGGGAGTCACGTCGGAAGGCATGGGCCATCCTCATCTTTTCACACGAAGCAAGGCCGCCTTCTTGGATCAAAAAACCCGAGCTCTGGACAGATGGAGCTCGTAGCGCAAGCCTGGAGAGAAGGATGGAAGGCACCCGAGCTCTACGGTTCTGGGATTATAGGAATTAGGGTTTAGACTCGTGGTGGCCACACAGCAAGCGGATACTGTACATCTCTCAGGATGCCGAAAGGCAAAGGAAAGCCCTGACTGAGGCAAAAGCTCATGAGTGTCCAATCCTCAAACGTGAAGGCCGCGAAAAGAGGCCTCAGAAATAGAACGTGGCCATCCGTGTGGCTTGATACCTGCAGCTACATATTAAAGACATGCACCCGAAAACCGAGCCGTTCAGTGCTCGCAGTCCGCTCCAACAGCCCGAGGTGAAGATTCTACTAGGCCCCGAAACTCGAAGCTTCCACGAGTGCTCCGTTTCCAGCTACCCTAAGAGAGCCGTCTCTCAAACACTGCCTTAGCCTGAGGTCTTCGCTCCCCGCCACCAACATCCATAACATCCTCAACACCGAAGACATCCAGGCTCTCGAAGTCCACCTTCCGTGCACTCAACTTAGCCGACTTAGCCCTAGCATCCACAATGGTTCCGACAGGACCCTTGCTTTTGGAACGACTACACGGCTGCAAAGATCCATGCAAACATGCACTGCCTGTCCTATCCCTAGCACCGACCTTGTTGCTCTCATCCAGGGCCGCCAGTACCTGGCTGCATGTGAGTTCCCTCGAAAAGGGGGACTCTTGAGATAGGCCTTGCTGACGAGGGCGGAGTTTCAGATTGGTGGTCAAGGCTCCAAGAGAGGCAACCCACTTCAAGAAACCACCCTCACAGCGCATTATGTCGTATTAGTTCGCCAACTCCATCTGCTGCGTCGAGATAGAACCACTCCCACACGTGCAGACCAGACGTCAGTACTTTTCAACGTAGTAATTACCACGAACCCCGATGTTTGCAACCCTTGGTTTTTCGAGATCCTGCTGTCACAGCAGCATACACGATCTTTCCCCAAAATGCAGGCAGGTCCTCCAAGGGCAGTTCGGTCCCATCCTTTTCTGCCTGCCGCTGAAGCTGCAGAAAAACATCGGATGAGACGAGCACTGGAACCAAGAGCATGTCACAGCTACAATGGTTGCAACCCCGATGAGAGCATGAGAGAACCTACGTCGCGATCTATGGTCTGCGACTAGCCGGTGCCTGCAGCGATTTCTCCTAGATCTAGAAAGCATTCCGTACCCGCTCGTGTGTACAGTTCCGCACGTACTTCGCGTCGCCGCCTGCTCTTTGGCTGCGAGCTGGGCAATCTTCTTTGCCTCCACAGCACGATGCTCAGGACATGTCAGAACCAGCATTCAAGACAGCAGTCGTCATCGAACCTCCGGATCTCGAACAAATGCAGTTTTCGGTACGTTTCCCGGCACATCCTGCTGTGCCACTACGAACGGCTTGTCGGGCTCATCGGCTGGCTTGAAGCTTCTGGGCGCTAGCTAGGGAAGGTCATTGCGTTCCTCGCACCGGACGTGGGCCATGTTTCGCACATCCGACAGAGTCATGGCGTATGACTTGCTACACATATCAACGCTCTCTCGGGCACCAGATGTTGATGTCCCATCTATATCAATGATCGAGTTTAACGCTTACGCAGCTCATCATGATCCAAAGACAGTGCACGGCACTCAGGTGATCCGCTTCTCTGCCTCAATAGCTTTGTGGGTGTTGTGCTTGGTCTGGTAGGACTGCATCACCTGATTACGTTGCATGTGGAAGAAAACATCTGGTACACCGTCAGTCGCCGAGGACTCCACATTGGCTTGTGCTGGGCTACGGGCCTTTTGCCATTCCTTCCACTTCGTGCTGAACCACTCGCCCGGCTGCAGATCTTGGCACCGATGGTTGTTGCTTAAGCGGCCGCCGGAGGGGTGTGACGGTGAAGAACGAGATCTGTAAACCGAACTTGCTGACTGGAGAAGCATCGCTTTCCCAAGCCGTGGGGCAAGGCTCTAGTAAAACTATCGACCGGAGTGATGAGACTGCCTGATTGTAAGCCTTGTCCAATTTCCTTGAACCATGCAAAGCGTAAAGTACTTAACGGGAGATGCAATTCAGCGGCCTTCCAATCGAGACGTAAGCTTTTTCACCTGCTTGCAAGCGGCACCAGAGGCTCCACGAAGCTCTACACTGACTGTCAGCAAACCTAGCTGCCGGTTAGGATGTAGGGTTTTGGGCTTTGCAGGGCTCCTGGCCTGAACCCATTCTTCCAGGTGCTGTTTCGCCTTCTTCTCGGGGCTCCAGATGTATTGGATCCCATCGAAGTACGTCTCCTGCCAGGGCCCACCGGACCGGACCGGACCGGAACGAGCTCGGCGCGTCAGGAGGACCTCTGTGATTGCTGTTGCAGAGCCTCGGGCCTCGCCTCTTCGTCTGGAAGGCTGAACTTCTGGAAGTTGGTATTCCTGTCTCCAGCATGGCATTTGGACTGCTTTACGTTTATGTGAATTTCGCGGCTTCGGCCGACACATGAGAGCCTGTCTCGTGCTGTCCAAGCTGCAGAACATACGCAGTCAGATCGCTCACGGGCAAACGTCGGAATGTCAGCTTCTTCCTCAGCAGCTTGGCACACTTTGTCGCACTATCAGACATGCTGAAGATCATTGAATCACCAAGTCGCAAGCAGCAATCACTTCTAGCCTTCTAGCCCTCGAGAATCAGAATGGATAGAATTGCCCGCACGGCCACAAGACTCTGCGGGATTTATCCAACCTGAAAGCTGGCTCACTTTTGCCAGGGGCCGCACTCCTCGGCAGTAAGCTCCGCGAGTGGAACGTCCTCCTGTGACAGTAGCACCAACGAGCATTCCTTGCGGCGCAGGGCTCCGGAAGCCCGGCCTCAGGCATTCCTTTCGCTTTGGCTTCCGCCACTTTTGCCTCGGAGATTTGGAGACGGCAACCCATGTCACGCTCTCAACGGCCTTTCTGCAGGCATGCCATGGGATGGGAGCTGTTTCACTGCCGAGCTCGTGGCCTCTTGTTTAGCCTTGAACATCCTGTCCTGGCCGGGGCTCGGCGCAGTTGCGCGCTCGGAGCTCTTGCTGCTGAAAGTTCAAAGGTCATCAGCAGTTTGGAGATCCCTGACTGACATGATGCTACGACGGCCCAGATCTGGGCTCCAAAGCTGCGGTCCTGGCTGAACTCTTTGAAGGCAGCTGGAGGCTCGCCCACGAGGACCGTCGCGATGCGCGTGTAGCCACCCCACCCTTCCAGAAAGTCGGGTCACGAGCATCCGTAAAGCAGTCTACCTTCATCTGTACATGCCCATCACCAGAGATGAAGGATGAAGACGACAACCATAAAGCTTTCAGTAGCACGAGTGGTACCATCTTGCTATCATCACTGCTCTCACTTACAGAACGATAATCTTCATCTTCGTCAACATCATCATCACCAGTTCATGAACACTTGACTGCATCATAGACGGAATTCTTAATGGAGCTACCACTATTATGGCATTGGTCACATTGAAACGCGTGTTGTCACCCCTCTTGACCGAGACGACGTCGACAACAACCGTGGCTCCCAGTGCTGCTATACGGCAAGGTAATGGTCAACATCCACAGCACCCCACTGCCACTGCTCGTGCCTCTGCTCCTTGCATGGCTACTTCTGCTACTTATGCGTAGAGCTTTAGCGGATCAATGAGCCCATAGGTTGCCCGTCCGTGGCCCAGGCGTAGGGCCAGCTCCCTTCGCTCCTCTTTGAGAAGCGTAGACTTCACCTGGCAGACGCACGGCCGATAATGACATCAGTACTGCTGCTCTTCTCTTGCTGGTGGTCATCGAAATCAGATCATGCATGGACTTCCTAGCTCAGTTTCTGATGTGCACCTCTCTGCAGAAAGCTTCCCCAAAAACTGCAAGTCCGGACGTCTCTCACGGCCGATATGCCCTACTGCCTAATATACCATCCCGGCCTCCATGACTATGAAGTTCCGCGGTTGAATGGACACAAGTGCCTGATCAGTGGCCCAGTCGGGGAGGGGAGAAGGTTCCATAGGCTGAAGTCGAGCTCGAACCGACCTCCCCGAAACACTAGTCATTCCCTGCCTGCAGAGTTCGGCGCATACTGCCATCGTCCAGCGCGGAGACACCGAAGCCCATCTACCAGCAGCAATGCTTTGGCTTAGCGGCTCGGAAGTACAGCCGAAGGCTCCATTTTGTTGCCCCCTTTGTAACGAGAACCGCCTCTGGCTTGTCATTGGACGCTCGCGCTGCAGCCTCAGATAGTCAATGAGGAGAGGCAGTATGCTACGCAAAGACGCAATAGGCTGCGGTTACTTACAGTTACAGTACGGGTCAAGCGGCTGCGTAGCCCTTGGGGCGGCTGAGGCCACTCAGCTCGCACCAGGTCAGCATGGCCCGGTCGCTCAGCTCGGTGTAGCCCCTGCAGCCATGTCAAGTCAAAGACCCCTGACCCTGACAAGGTGGGAAATCTGGGCCGCCACACGGATGGCTTTCCATGAACTGGTCAAGCCAGTCAAAGCCACCTTCGTCCGGCACTGCGACAGGGAAGATCACCTCAAGCTGCACGGATCGAAGAGCTGCAGTCAGAACGACCTCTAAGCGATTGCCTCGCACTGCCCGTCCGACGGCTTCGTCGTCGCCTTGATGCTCACGTCCTTCGTCGAAGCATCCTGTCCGAAGGTATCAAGCACAGTGAGATCTGCTGGAGGCAATCTGCAAGGAAACCGAACCTTCAGGAAGCGGCACTTGAACGGCATTGGCAGCAAAGAGGCGCCAAAGTTGTAGTGGACGGCCATATTCCTGATCACAACATGAGGTGCACTTCCTCCAAGCAGTATAGCAGTATAGCATGCTCATGTGCAAACTGCTGCAAGTACATGTGCCTGAAGCTCACGGCCGGATACAGAACCTGCCACTCACAAGGGTCGAGGCATAGCACAAGAAACTTCTGAGATCCCTCAACCGGCTGTCTTGCCTTGCCCTGCAAGTGCTCCGGGATCGGCTGGGGTGGAGCCATGCGCTGGCCGTCCTGCGAGGAACGCGGCACTCGGGCTGGCGAAGGTTTGGAAGGTTTGTGGCTGGAAGCCGAGCCTTGAAGATGCTCAGCGTGTTTCCAAACTTGCCTGCGCAAGAGAAGCGAAGCCGATGGCCGAGGACCGAGCTCATCGAGGCCAGCACTGTTCGGGTCCAGGTTAGCCACCAATGTGACCACGTCCCCTGTTGCGAACTTCGAGCTGCAGACGGGGCTCGCCTTCCTGGCACTTTCTGCGCTAAGGGAGATTCCCTCATGTCCATATCCAGGCGGCTGCTGCTCATGGCTCTTCAACATCGCATTTCATGCATCCCGCTGCCGAAGCACTCCAAGATGAACGCTCAACGAAGCCGGAAATCTCCTCCGGTCGCGGAAGAAACCTTCCGAGTCGAAGCAGACGGTATCCTGTCCGTATAGGCTCAAGATGCGCGTCGCAAAACGCTCCCAACCCGTTTCAGAGACGAACCCTGCCAGCCAGGAATACGACAGGTCTGCACAGCCAGTCCTCTGTCTCACCGAGGATTAAGGAAGACTTCGCCGTGGCCACGCCAATCCGCAGCACACTGCGTGGCCCCATCATCCTGGACAGAGCTGGGTTATGCCTTGCTGGCCACCTTAAGATGCCGCAGCCTGCTCTGGAATCAAGTGAGTCTGCCTGTCACTTGCCTCACCTCCAGGTCTGCATGTCCCCGGACCTGGATCGGGCAGTCGGATCTTCGTGGAAGCTGCTCCTTTCCAGGATCTTCACCTCACCAGGGGCTTCCATGTAACCATCAGACCTCCCTAGCCTGGCTCCCCGGGGGGCCTCGAACATGTACCGGCCAGCCTTCAGCCCGATGTTGCATCTCGCCCCCGCTATGAGATACCTCACTCCCACACCACCACGGCGCTCTTCGCCCTAAAAGCCGCGACCCTGAGCCCGGCACTGGAGGCCTCCCTCGGACAGCGCTGTTAGCATGTTCCCGGAGGACGAGGGAACCACGTTCAGCGTCGTGTCCTCCACATGGAAGGCCGGCGACTCCTGGCAGCGGCTCAGCTCTCATCCGATCCCGTCTTTGCCGTCGATCCTAACTGCCGGCCGGCCTTGATCCGGGGAGCCTTGTCCAGAGGCGCATCCACCTCCTCATCCTTCCAAAATTGGCAGATTTCTTCTGTGACTTCAGATTTCAAGGCGGCACATAGCAGGAGAAATCATGAGAAAGTAAACGGCACGTGTGATCTCGTTCCAAGAAGTCCACCTCGGTTTTCGCCTTCTTTGCTGGGGGCTCCTCCATGGCGCTTAAGGCACTTGCCTGTCTGAGGCTCAGCCTGTGCAAGCCAAGTGCGATAATGGTACGGTATATTCGTATATATGTAGATTGGTTTATTAGTACATGGGAAACTTGGGCTCTATTTGGCAGCTACCGGGCGCGATGTAGGCTGGAGACTGGCTGCAACAAGCTCTCATAAACTTGATCTTGCAGGAAATGCTTTACCTGTGTTCAGTTCCCCCGGTCAAGGGCTGCCTAGCTTACTGTCTGACTAAGACTAAGAAACTTACACCGATCTAGGCGACTTGCTTAAATCACTGCTAAGCCCACGCTCACAAACATGCCTTGATGTTCAACTGCTGTCCGATAGGAGGAGGGGGGGTTGCCGCATGAAAAAGCACAGTAGAGAGACAGGCAGACTAGTAGCGATGCTGCAGGCTACTGGTGACAAAGCTAGTCAGTGATCAGAATCTAGCCGGTACGACCAAACATCAACTAGCATCTCGGGGTATAAACATGCATAAGCCATAAGCTATACAGGATGAGATGACGGAGGCGTGACGGACCGTTTTCGTCGGATTGCACAGCGATTCTGCGGGTGAGACTTGGGAGTTTCCGAAAAGAAGGGGTACCTTTTTTGAGTACTATATTGGGGTCCCCCATTTTCGGAAACCCCCCCCACTTGCGACGAATCACTCGACTCTGGGCGACACCGCCCGGAAGTCTACGAGTATCGCCTGCAAGAGATTGGTATCGGCTGTGAAGCCCGGTACCACACCTACTTGTCCTGTATGAATCAGGTAATAATAAGGTACCTGTAGGTAAAGAGACGTCCGACGACGCAAACTACGACTCCGACCGCAGTGAACTTGACGGCAATGAAGATGGTGATGGATGATGATGTGATATACGACTGTATGGGGGTCAACTAGGCCGGAAAGACGAACATTCAAAGCGATCGAAACTCGCTGCAGAAAGGGCAGCATCAGTGCGACCGAAGGATAGCGAGCTTTCTGGTGCGATCACCACTTTCCGAACAGTACACGCAACCACTGATTCTGAGAGTGCACTTGAGAACACTTTCGCTTTGCAGCACCTGGCCAGGCACGTACAGCCCAAAGATCGGGTAGATTGATTCCCAGTGCTCCAACGTCTCGGGAAGGAACGTTGATGTACCTCAAGTGGCATGACAGGGACCCGGTCTTGGCCACAATTTTCTTGCGGCTAGGGTGCCAATGCACGTGCCGTTGTGAAACCTCGGTGGGTACAGGATACTGCCCACTCTTCAAGCGGCTTCATTCAGCTCCTTCTTCTGGACCAAGCAGCCACTGCAGTGACTTTGAGATCACGTCGTGTCGGACGCCGATCCGCTCACCCTTTCAGGGGCTTGGGTTGCCAGCTGGAGAATCTAAGTTGAAAGATCGCACACATCTTGACCCGAAGCGTCGGTGACGCAAGTGCAGCATGAGCGGGCGTCCTCGCCCAGCTGCAGCGCGGGCTGCACGTCATGGTGTCCGAGTGCATCACCGAGCAGGCCGTTGTTGCTGTTGTAGAGCACACAGCACCTTGAAGCAAGCACGTCACACAGAACTCTGAGTTGCAGAGCTCTTAGCCTCAATTCTACAGGACTTTGCCGAGCGGCTGCAGCCTGATGGAGTGTGTCTCCGGACCCTGAGGGAGGTGGTTGCAGAGCCCCACAGCTAACCTCAGCTCATGAGAAGTGGAATACAGCAAGAGGCAAGTACACCTCTTAGCTTTCCGCAGAAATAACGGGCATCACCGCACCCAAATCATGTGCACACCGTGCCAACTCCGGAAGCTGAGGTCGCAGCCCACCGCGCGCATCCGGGTTTGACAGCACTGTGACCTGGCAAAGCATCTACGATCTCAGACCTTTCCCCTGACATGTGGAGCTGACGAAGCCTCGAAGTAGGAGGCACTGGAAACCGGCAGAGGGTGTTCCGCGCCGACGACCTGCATGCAGCGTAGCTCCGTCACTTGCAGCGGTCCAAATGAACTTCACCAAAGGGTTCGTGAAAAGCGTGGACAGCGCGCAGCACATCTTTCCGGCGCCTGCCAACCAGGATGGGTCGCTCGCACCACCTCCACCGTGGCTGGATCCGGGCCCTGGCTTCCGTGGAACACTGCAAATTCACCGAGGTGCAAGCCCAATCGCTCAAGCAAATGTGCAGGGCCCAGGCGTCTGCCGGTTGATCCGCCGCGGGCCGTGTTGCGATGTGAAGGGACGTTCCATGCAGCGGGTTCATGCCTAAGAGGCTTTCGCGCTGGCCACCAAGGGTGCAGCATGTGTGCGAGAGCTGCAGGGACAAGGACGAGCGGTCGCCACATGCGACAATTCAACACCGAATAGCTTCTCGCACTATACTCATCGACTAATATACTACTGTCACTGTGATTATTGAGACGACGATGAGCACGATGAGGAAAGAGCGAGTGGTGCATGGCGTATCCTGTGCCGGTGAGGAGATGCTTACCCTCGACTTAGCTTGGCCTTGGCCCGGTAGCTAAGCACTGGGGCCGTTGCGATTCGGTTTCAAGAACGGCCACAGCTTCCACGCCTCAAATCCGAGGAACGCGGTTCCAGCTCCCTCGAATCTGTGAAGAAAGGGGTTCTCTCCAAGTGCGCCTCAGCCAAGAGCTCCATGTTCCTCCGCTGCACTACTGGCACCACTGGCAAGGGTGCGTCTGCACGGAGGCGTCGATTGCGGAGGTACTCGACGACAACACTGAAGCACCTCGGCCAGGTTTTGGGAACCCCGGACGTAACCGCAGAAACGTGAGGATCTGGCTGCGGATTGAAGTCCAGGAAGAAACGACCTTCCTCATCGCGCGGGATTTCGTGGATGAAGGTGTCGCTGAACATCTCGGCGAGAACACTGCCAGGTATGCCGCACCTAGGCAGAAGACTGAAAAGCACAGGACACCTCACTGGCAGCTCAGCACAGCTCTCTCTCTGGGCAGCAGGCATGGTCTGTTTCGGGATTGTAAAGATGTGGCCAGAGCAATTGATCTGAATTACCTGCGTCACGGGCACCTACAAGATGCCCAAAAAACCAAGTGCCTGTGCCTCCGTCTCCGTCCACATCTTTGACATGTCCTGCAAAGGTGGTCATTTCGTGTGACACCCTAGAAAGGAAATAGCTCAGCTTGTTGGAAGTTCTACCTTACATAGGTCAGTAGAAGAGCACAACTCTGCGACAGAGCTTACCCACTGCCAGTGTTGGATTCGGGATCCTAGCTACAGACTTTCGATGTAGGCAACGGACAAGCTCTTGAATGAGAGTACCAAGAAAGAAAGGGAGAAGTACCACAAAAACTGGATATCTAGAATGCAACTTTGCCCACACCTCGCTGAGCTTGTTAAGACGCTGCCACTCCGCATCGATCTTCAGCTTCTCCCGGTAGCACCATTCCTCCGTGTCCTGACTTGAGAGCTGCAGGAAGGGCCAACTCCCGCCATCTCAGCACATCCGCAGTCCTGCCGGAGCTTTTCGAGCTCCTCAGTTGTCTGATCGCGTTCCTGCATGCGGAGTCTTGCACCCAAGCTCCGTTGGGGCAGGAAGTCCAGTCATGTCTTAACCGCAACCACCCGAACCTCGGAAAGGCGCGCCCATGCAGCACGGATTTGCTCCTGGCAAGCGTGCTGAGGCGTCGCATCTTGCGCACTTACACACGTCGAAAGGCCACACCAATGTGCTCAAGGAGACATGCATCAGGATTTCTGGCACGATGTGTCAACGTATCTGCACACTCTAGATATACACAAAGGTGATGTTGCAAAGTAGTGTGTGTGTGTGTGCTATGTCATGTAGTGCACTGCAGTGCACTGCAATGCATTGAATGCATTGCATTGATGTGCTATGCACTGCACTGTGATGGAATGTAATGTACGTAAACGCATGCAGATGTAGATAGATAGAAAGATAGATATACAGCCAGTTTTCATCCATGTATCATATTTACACGCATATGCATACATGTATAAAGGATACTTATGCTGACATGCGTACACACATAAATATGTGTCCGTATATACCTGAAAACTGCATCTACATGCATGTCTGTAAAAAAGATATGTATATGTATATACTGATATACAGATAGGTATGTATATGTATATAAACATATGTATATATGTATGCCTCGACGTCTACGTGTATCACTGGCGGTCATCCTCTGCCTGTGCCCCAAGCACCCAGAGACTCCAAAACCCTTTCATCCAGGAAGATACCTTGAAATCCCACTCGGCTTCCCATTTAATTCACGGTACATTCCTTACTGAAAGAGTTTCGGAGGCTCTGAGTATCCTAATCCCTGCTCGTATGGATCCCATATTGATTCCTTAAGGGAACCCTGGAGAGCCCTTAGGAACCCTAGGTATTCCCTAATTAAGGGCTAAATATCGCGTCCGCAGGTCCCGTTCTTGGTCCAGCGAGGCAAGCAGGCGCCGAAAGGACGACTCGATCAGCGCCTCTTCGGAAGCCAAGTGGTAGTGACAGCGCAGTTTCGGGATTCAAGATTTCGACTAGACATAAGTAGGATTACTATAGGTGCTATAGGTATGACGGTAGACCCTTTATTGTTATGGGACTTCTAACCCTACTTTTAGCAAGGGTCGGTCAGTAAAGCTCTGAAAGCTGCAGGAGACGTTCCGGGCACCTCAGGCGCCTCGGGAAAGGCCTGGCCACACACATCCCGGCAGGATTCACGAGTCAGGAAGGGATGCGAAGATGCGCTGCAGATCGCTTACTGGCTGTGATAGCAGAAATCACTTGCAGCACTGAAGCCGAACTCGGGTTCAGACCGTTCGGCTTGCCTGCATGTCCTGCATGCGTGCAATCGTGAGGGTCAGCGAGGGCATGAAAGGATGCTCCCACCTGGCGCAGCAGCCCAAGGGCCTTCTCAGCTTTCCCTTTTTGGGCCAAAAGGAATGAAGGGCAAACAAACTTAGTCACAGCTCGTCCACTGGTGCATTGCTGTAGTGACTGTAGTGCCGCATGGCGCGCTCTTGCGCCGCACACATTTTCCACACCATGACTCTCCTAGCCCCTCGGTCGAAGGTGCTGCACATTAACGCCAGCGAAGAAGGTACCAAGTTCGCATCGCTAAACTTTGGCTGGCGGCACTCAGTACCTCTTTGCGAACGGTCTCCCGTCATCCACAGATCAGACCTTGGCCGCCTTCGCCGCCTGCGCAAGCAGCAAATGCCTAGATGTCCACATCTCTCTTCTCGATCAGCTTTGGGTGAGATTGGACCTTCCCGTGCAACCTCTCAAACGGCCTAAGTGCGCGCTCTGTCTCAGTCCCATCAGCCTTCCGCCTCTTGCGAGCTTTGCTTTGCTCCTTGCGACAGCTTCAGAGAGCTGGACAAGCCCTTTTTCAGGCCAGGGTGGGTTCGAGTGTGACACTGCCCTAGCTGTCATACCACTCCAAGACCGCTGAGTTCTGGGCGAGCTCCCCTTCGACCTTCGACCGCTCGTTCTCGGCCCTACCTCGCAGAAGTCAAGAGACCCTCTCAGGCAATGGAGTACTCGCCCTGAGGTCAGAAAAGGACGGAAGGAAACCTGTTCGACCAACAAAACAGGCCCTCAAAAGCGTCAATTGCGGAAGCCATATGCTCGGCTCCCTGTGTTTAAGTGGGGCGGAGAGTTCAAGACGCTTACACATGCTAACAACTCTATCAGCAGAAGCAGCAAGTTGACCTAACATTGCAGCCCACGGGCGCTTGAGCCACTGCGTCCGTTGCTTGGCCAAAGGCGTGGCGTCCGGACCGAGTACTAGCAGCTTGCCGGCAGGTGGTGGTTCCTGGCAGTAATGTGCAGCAAAGAGGTGATTCCAGATCAGTAGCCCTGAGAATGATCCTGCAGCTGCTCACGGAACCGCTGCACTTCTTGGCTGCTCTGCTCCACAGCAGCAAGCAGCGCTTTCAGCTGTTTCCTCAAAGCTTCGCTGCGGCAGTGCCTGCGCATACCGAGGTGCCCGCACGAGAGCTTCCCAACAACAGGATCACATGAACTTTGCCCTGCTGCCCCCTGCTGCCCCCTGCAGCGCTTCTTCAGCCGTGGGACTTGCTTTGGCGTCGCAGGTGCAGGACCTGGGGCTGTCAGAGCCGGATCCCAAGCTTCAGGTCAGCTAAAGGAAAGCCAGGGCACGACCGGGGCCGAGAGCTCGGGGAAGGACGTGGAGCGGCTCAAGAGCCCGAGGTGGTCGATGAAGAGGCCCTTAAGAGAAGACTGAAAACTGACGGCTGGGGGCTCGCTCCCTTCACATCGGGTGAAGGCATTGTGAAAGGAGGTAAACTGTGAAGGGAATCACCCTTCACCTCCAGATGCTGTCTGCTTCAAGTCATATCTCAATGAACTATGCCCATCCCTGGCCTCTTGTATATACCTCCCTCGATTGATCACCCTTCCGATTCGCTGTCTCGATTTGGGATCCAGGATTGAGACTTGAGGATTTAGGGGTTTGAAGAAGTTGAAAGATGGCTCTCGCATGTGGTATGTCAAAAGGGATTTAAAGCCCTGCTAAGCGGCACAGATCCTCTCCGCCACCAGAACCAGGACTTCTTCTCGACCCGGCGAGAGTCGTAGGAGCACCTTCAGTGATCGGAATCATGGGCAGCTCCCTGGTTCCTGATGCCACGCAGACGTCGCACCTCCATATCAGGCGGCTTCCGTTCCACCGTTTCGCCTCCTTCCTCGTCTTCAGCATCTGGGCAGAGAGAGCAGAAGTCTGCAAGCCTTCGACGCAGCGGTTGCGGTCAGCAAAACCCGTCTGCCTGGCCTGGGCCTTGAGCCTTGGATCCCAGCTTCTTTTTGGACTCCAGCTGATGGTGGACGATGTCCAGGAGCTTCCTTTGAATTGAGACTTCAGCCAAACGCAAGAAAAGCGGACCTGGACCTCTCACTCTCACCGTCCCACTGCGGCCAACGTTTCAGGAGGTGGCTTGAGAGCGGCACCAGCACCTCGAGACCAGCCGCCAGACGGTTCAGGCAGGTCAGACCGTGGCAGACGAAGGGGAAGCACTGCAGGTTCGTCAGGCGGCTCCTGGCATGCTATGAAATGAAGGCTTGCACTCCACTGCCATGGACCATCATGGACCAGCCCAGCCGAGGCTCTTGACCGCCCCTAAGATCACCATGAAGAGCGGGTAGGCCAGTGGTTTTAGCGATGGCACTGATGTCACGACCCGCGTCCAAAGGTACATAGAGCGCACAAACTGCCAGCTCATCAGGTCTTCCAGCGGCTTGGCCTTAACCTTGCGCCGAGGGGCATCGCCCTCCTCCTCCTCGCAGTTGCGTCCCATCTTCTCTTTTCCAGCCTTCCCTTTTGCAGCTTTCTCTCTCTTCGCACGGCCCTTTGCCGCCTTGGCCTTTGCTTTGGCCTTGGCGGTCTTAGCCTTGGCCTGCGAGACACTGCCACCCCGTGAGGAAGCCATCGAGGCGTTGCGGAGCAGCAGCGCCAACTGCCGAATCCAGACATACCCCACCCGGTAGGAGGTGGCATCATCCAGCCGGAAAAGCTCCAGAATGCAGTTCTCCTTATCAACGAGGTGCCGAAAATACGGGTAAGTTTAAACATCTTCTATTTAGAAGGAAAGACTTCAGTAGCGTTTCGGAATTCAACCGGGAGACCATGAAGCGGAAGTTGGACACCGAGCGCCACGTGTAGGTCCCCGCTGCCGCGCTGGCAAAGGATCTGAGGATGGTGCGGATCAAGGCCTGCTACCAGTTTTCCGTGTGCCGGGCTCCATTAATCCCCTAGGGAAAGCGAGCGACAGCAACCCCTCACTGCACTAACCCCAAATTGCATTCACTTCTCCGGAACTCTTTCCTCCAGCGTGGGGATGCCCCGTAGGTCTTTCGTGGAACCAGGCTTCAGAAGCAGCATGGCCGCAGCATTTCGCAGGAACAGGAAGCTGAGCAGCCTGGGCAAGAGCAAGCGCAACACTGACGGTCAGGCTCTGCTTGCCGTAGAGTAGCAGGCCACCCCTGCCATGTGCAAAATGGGCACCTTAATCGCAAATCTTCCGAGTCGCCGCACGGCTCCCGGCGAAGTTTCAGAGCCGCCCGCCGCCGGCCGCGCCCAGATCTCGCAGCAGCGCCGGAGGAAGCGCCGGCGCAAGTGCTGGCAGGGCCAGAGCCTGAGTCGGGCCCCATCGAAACTTAAGGCACTTCAGGGCACTTCTATTTGCCCTATCGCCAGGGGACCAGCAAAGCGCCTGCTGGCTGCTGCAGGTTCGCAGCACGGCCTCCTGCATCTCCACAGTGAGGCCCTGGCAGAGTGGAGCGCACGTCACAGGCACTGTTTAGAGAATCTTGCATACGGAACCGCATGTCCGGCCGGCATGTGGCCAATCGAGCAACTTTGCAAAGGCTGGGCCTTGTTCAGAAGTATAAGCGTCTCATCCCAAAAAATGTTGCATAGCACCTGGCAGAACGGGTTTGCTGAGACTGCAAGTGGGGGCAGGACCTGCAAGCACCTTCACTCGCTTCCATTTGGCCAGGCATGTGGGGTCGAAGTAGCCGCTCGCAGCTTCTTCCCTTTGAGCCTTCTTCTTGTTCTTCCCTCTTTTGACCTGACTGGCGAAGACGACGACGGAAGCCTAGCAAAACCCAGACGTCTGCCTGCTCTTCACCCGCGTAGATCTTGAGCAGGCCGAGGACATTGCCAAGGCACCACTCCAAGACTTCGGAGAACGTCGCCTGTCAGCACTTGTGGTGGGGGCTCAGGCTGTGCTGGCGACCGGACCTTGGGCATTGGGATCTACAGTGTCTGTCTGCAACCATCACGAGACTGCAGCACACCTGCAATTACCAACTACTCTTGAAATAGTGGTTCCAAGCTGTCTGCCCTACATGGCATAAAGTCTGGGCAAGACGAGGATAGAAATGTCCGGCAGTTCAGAAGTAAATCGCCTCGAACCACAGAGCTTTTGAACTCAAGAGCGGCCCTATAAGCTCCACTTCGAAGAGTCGAAAACCCGTGCAATGCCTCATCCTCGATCGTCATGGCCACACGAGAGCGCTTCTTCTTGAAGGAGCGGCGCCTGACAAGAGTGCCGTTGGTAGCATGACCGCAACCTCGACTGCAACAAGAATGAAGCACAAGCAGAATGTTGCTATGGCAGGCTGGCAAGTGAACGAACCCATGTAGCATAGTTGCACAGTAGCATAGCAGCATAGCACTCGATGATTCTTCTCTTGAGCGTGAGCGTTTGTCATCGTCACTGCCGTTGCTGCCAAAACTTGGCCTTCGCGATTCATTCAATGTGTTCGTAGGCCACAGCAGAAAAACCCCGTGACTCAAGCTCACTCCTTGACAGAGCACTCAGCACCTACTTCGCACGCACTGCCTCTCTAGGGACAAGGACTTTGGATTTAGAGCTCAGGATTTATGAACCTTTGGATGTGCCACGGCAACCCTTTCTGATTACGATTCAACTTCATGCTACATCTCTACTGAGAAAATGCTGACAAGCTTGCGGTCGCGGTTGATGGTAGCATCGTTTAACACATCTGCTTCCATGTGTTTTGTGCAAGTTGTTGCTTGACATGGATCTTTTTGTTGCCTTTCTGTTACCGCTGTCATCACTAGTATCTTTGCTCTTTCGCGAAATTTGTGTACAATGCTCAATTGGTGCCATCTGTATCGACTTCATTGTTATTCTCATCGAAGTTCGACATGCTCGAGATTTGCGAGGCACGGCCTAAAAAGATTGGATCCTTCTTGAAAGGGCCCGTCCAACAGGAACCCGTAGGCACAGAAACTTCCGGATAAAGCTGGGGTTCTGTGTCCTGTTCCGCTTTGCATCCGCTGCCTCGCTGGCGCCTCGTCTCCCTCGTCTTTTGCCTGTCAAGAGACTCTAATAGGAAGAATACCACACGGAGGAGGGGCGGGAGCAGCCGAGCAGCGGCGGGAGCAAGAGAGAGAGAGAGCAGAGAGAGCAGAGAGAGCAGAGGCGTCTGGTTGGGGAGGCGTGGGAGATGTCTGTGGAACTGTCCTAACTTGACGGCCTCGAGCTCGGGATCGATAGATCGCACCGCCGTGTGGTAGGCGTTGAGAGCCGCCTGAACATCGAGCCCGTTTTTCCCCAGAAACTGATGCCACCAACAAGCACCCATGCCTTAAAGGCAGTGAAGGCCTTCGGCGCTGAGCTCCTCGGTTCGCACTGACCTCCCTACATTTTTGGAGCAGTGGCAGAGACGGGCCAAGGCGCTCAATCTGCTTGAACCGCTCCAATGTCAGTTTTCGCGCGGAGCCCGAGGAGGTGCCTGTTGACTCCTCCTAGTCGAGCCGACAAACATCCCAAAACATCTAGATTAATGCGAACCCCACGCCAACGTGACACATTCGTTTCCAGTGGCATACGACCAGCGATGAAAGTACTTCTGACTTTGGTGCACAGGTGCGCTCCTGGACAAACGTTCCTTCGTCTTCATCTTCTTCCTGGTCCTTCGCACCCAGATTCAACAGAATCCCCGGCCATGCGAGTTGAAACTCTGACTCGACAAGTGCACGACAAGTACAAATCAAGAAGAAGCTGATCCGCTTGCTCGATTACATAGGCCGACAAGCACCATCGCCGGCACAAGCCCACAACAGCGCGCCAACCGCGCAAGCGGAGATGACCCACGAAGGCACACAGAAGCAAGCTGACAACAAAACAAGGAGTTTGGTCTACCACCCGGCACCTCTTCGACTGCCTCCTCCTCGCCTTCCTCAGACGCCGCATCAGCAGTGTCAGCTTTGAAGTCGAGGAGCTGTTGATCCTGGGACGTAGCATATGTCCAACTGGCGGAGAGCTGGTACAAAAAGATCATAAGAATGAGTTGGAAAAACTATGGCACTATGAACCTTGTAGGTTTCTGGGGGGTGCTGCGCAGGGGACAGAGGGGCCGAGAAAGTAGCTGCAAAGACATTTCTTCAGGAAAAAGGCTCCTCTTCAACCAGGAACTTGTAAAACTCCGGATCCTGTTCCTGTCAAGCCCAATGCGAGGCACTGAAGCTGTGCGTGGCTTTGGCGGACGGCTGCTCGAGCCTTGATGGCTTGTAGCTCTTCTACATGCCGCGCAGCTGCACCTGCACGATCGAAGGAAAAGTGGAGGAATTCAAAACGGAATGTACCTTGCTGACCTTTCTTTCCAGCGAGCTTCGCCGGCTTGCCGGAAACAGCCTGCACGGCAATCTCTTATGTGTACAACAGTGTTTCGGCCGCTGCGACACCGGGAAGCAGCAAGCTTGCCCAGTCAGTAAAGCAATCCGTGCCGAACATGGCCTTTTTCACCGAAACGGCCGGCGATGACTTGGATTTCTTCGGCCTTCCAGATTCCAACACATCATGCCAAAGTATCGGATGTGCAACTTAGATTCGATTGCGTCATGTTTAACTTGTCCTTCGAGCACATATGATATGCAAGGCCTGGGAGTGCGTGGCATTGCCAAGCACGACAACAACTCATCATCCACGAGCTTGAACAGCTGAAATGCCAGGCGTTGGTGTGGTTATCCGGTTATCCAAACTCGGGCCACGTGGCAAGCCTACAAACCATCGACAAAAATTAAAAAGCCAAGGCTGTCATCCGAAGTATTCGATTTTACACACCCCAAAAATGAAGTTCTTAGGTTGCATCCTTGCCGAACCAAACACGGTTGCTGCTTTCCTCCAGTGCAAAAACAGCGAACAACTTGATTTTGGTCCTTTTCAGCTACGTGACATGCACATCAAGATGCTCCCAGAAACAATTCCCGCGCAGCTATTCGCATCTTCACATCTGTGGCATGGACAACAAAGATGAGCTATTTGAAGAAAATCACCATGGGATGCAATTGCAACACAAAACGTTACAGAAGTTCGCGCCAGATGAAAAAAGGTGGTGACCCCAACATATATTGCTTTTGAAGACAACAACAACAAGAACAAATGGAAATGTCTTTGCCGATGTTATGGCACAGTGGAACATGTGCTGCCTACCCTCCCAGGATCCCCCATTTGCCCAGCTGATAGACCTACCACACAGCCTACTGTCCTTCCTGCCCCAACGCAGGCTTAAATATGTATGGGTGCTCCTAACTGTTCTCAACGCTAAGTGCAGTGCGAACTGCATACGCTCTATTTTTCCGCAGAGGTTGCTCGAATGTGCAGTGCAGAGCGAGGCATTGCTCGCAAGGGAAAGCGGCAAGCGATGCCGAGCAAACCCCCAAGGGCGTGGAGGGTGGGTGAAAAATTTCTTATGCATGCGATGCAAGAAAGCGAACACTAGTTGTGAGTGCTGGTGCCGAAAGCAGCGCGGAGCGTTTGAAGGTTTCGACACAGATAAGAAAACACAGTTGAATCAAAAACACAAACTCACAACAAGCGTTCTCCTAACTGTTCTCAACGCTAAGTGCAGTGCGAACTGCATACGCTCTATTTTTCCGCAGAGGTTGCTCGAATGTGCAGTGCAGAGCGAGGCATTGCTCGCAAGGGAAAGCGGCAAGCGATGCCGAGCAAACCCCCACTTTAGGTGCACTTCGACAACCTCTGCTGTAAAAGCCCCTCACCGCGCGAGTTGGCGGATGTACCTGGCGAGGCAGGGCGTGAGAAATGAAGAGCGTGAAAAGCAAAGCTGTTCTCACGGAAAGAGAGGAAGAGAGAGGCGTCACTCCACTCTTTTTTTACATCATTTAAGCATTGCGTGCTGAGCGTCTAGTAGCCGTTGCGGCCAAGCGAGTGCGTGATCATGTAATGTGACGCAATGCGATGCGGATGCTAGTTGCGCTAGCGTGACTTCAACTTTGTCAGCAGTGCGATGCTGAAGAAAGGCAGTTGAGCCCCTGCTGAGCTTGTCTGCCCAAACGTTCTTCTCGCCAGCGAGGTGCTCCACCTCAAACTGCACGCGGTGCAGATGCGCCCAGGTGGCCGCCAGGCGAAGGAAAGTCCCTAGGGGCTCTGCCGTGCTGAAGAGCTTATTAAGGCCAGACTCTGCGCTGGTATTGTCAGATGCCGTGGGCAGAACAAAGCGGATCTGTTTACTGCGTAGCAGTTGCCAGGAGCACTGTGCCAGTGCAAGTTGTGCGAGCGATTCAAAGCAGCCAATGTAAGGCTGCAGGCTGCCTTGCAGTTGCGGCCATTGCTTGCGCACTTCCTCTGCAGAGAAGATGGCGCTGAACCACAGGAAGGCGTCGGCAGTGCTGATCCATCCTCCAATGCCCATGCGGTGCGTATCTGCGAATGCATCCGCCGCACTGTAGCAGTGCATTCGTGGCGCTGTGCGCAGCGAGCGAGGCTGCTCATGCGCAAAGCAATGCTGCAGCCATGCCAGAACGAATTTGCTTTCGTGGCGAAGGTGAACTTCAGAGCGGTGCGGGTCAGCTAGCCTTAGCCATTGGTGTTTGTGCGAGGGCGGCACAAGGGGCACATCTGCTTTGCTTGCTATTTTGAGGCTGCCAACCTCAAGTAGTTGGGCATTGCGTGGCAGCCAAGAGCCTGCTGGCGTGCGGGTGAGCTTTGCGTTGTTGTCCAGGCAATCTAGGAAGGTGCCCCACATGCTCGGTGAAATGCTGTGCAGTGTGCCTCTGCAGCTGTGTAGGTCTTTGTAGAGCGGTGCCATGAAAGGGCGCATGTGTTTACTTAGGGAGGTGGCCCAATTAAGTAGGCCTAGTACGCCCTCCAGCTCCTTGCGTTGCACTTTGCTTTTGCGTTGCAGTGCAATGAGTTGCTCGCGGAGCTTGTGCAATTTGAGTTCGCGGAGCTCAATGGTCTCCGCGTCCGTGCGAATGGTCCACCCGCACCAGGTGACTTCCTGGGTGAACTGAGCCTTCTTCCAGCTGATGGGTGCGTTCAGGGCTGAAAGCAGTGCAACTATCAGTGCGGTGCATGGCCATGTCTTTGTCAGCTGTGCGGAGCAGGGCCAGGAGGTCGTCGACGTAAAGCCAGGCTCGATGCGGGTAGTTACAGAGCAGCGCATGTATGCAGCGCAGTAGAAGGCTACCTGTGCGTTGCCACCAATATGCCGAGAAGCGCGCCCCGAAGTGGCAAACCTTGTAGTAGTACAGGGAGCTGCCAACTCGGAACAGCAGGGTGCCTTGGTCTGCGGGGCTGACTTTGCAGCATTTGTGCGCTGCCTTAAAGTCTAGTGACAGTGCGTGAAGCTGTGCGTAGCAGTCATCTGACAAAAATGTGCGCTGCACGTCCGAGGCGCTGGGCAGTGACACCCGTTCTGGGAGATGCACGGCCGGATTAAGTCCGCACACAGTGCTGTCAAGGACCAGGCGTGGGTCGCGTCCTTCGGCCATAACAATGTTTAATTTGCCGATTGCAGTGCCCTGCGGCCAGTGGCGCTTTGCGTCTTCTTCTGTGCCTTCGAACTTTGCGACAAAGCCTTTGCGCACTTCATCCTCCACTAGCTCTTGCAGCAGTGCGGGGTTGCTTTCCGCTAGGAACCAATTCCCCCTGCAGTGCTCGAGGGATGCAGGGCTGAAGTCGTCTGCAAAGTCTAAAGAGCTTTGCGTTGTGGGCCACTGCCCGCTGCTGGGCAGTGCTCCGAAAGCACCTGTAGGTACTCCCTCATCGAGGATGATGGGTAGCTGTGCATCTTTATCATGAATGGCTTGTGCCAGGTATTGCAGTGCTGTGAGACGGAAGGGCTGCCCGTCCGAGATTCGGAGGAACTGGTTTTTGTCGATGTTGGGTGCCATGGTCTGATGCACAATGTCTGCCAAGGCGTTGCGATGGTCTTCACTAAGCGGGTGCGAGTCTTGCCCTGACTGTAGGTGCTTAGAAATATGCGAAACGAGGCCGTGTTTAGTGAGGTATTGCTTAAAGGCAGAGGCTAGCTTTGCTAGGGGCTTGGGCTTACTGCTTACATTATTGGCAGAGTGATCTGCAGTGCTGAACATGCCTGCTCCATCGCAGACCGCGGGCCTGCGTGGCAGAAAGCAGCGCGGCAAATGCTTTTGCAGCATTGCTGGCTCGATAGGGGCATTGAGGTGCGATGTGCACTCCTGCCTGCAAGAGCGAGCATGTGCTGGTATGGATCAGCTTGCTGTGTTGCGCTTGCCAGTGCTGCATGCGTGGAGCAAATGATGTGCGAGGCGTCGCTCTGGGGCAGCTTCATTTGTATGCAGTGCACTGCTAACTCTTGGCACAGCTGTGTGTACAGATCTGCAATCTCGTCATCGCAGTGCCTGGGGTACTCGAAAAAGACCTGACTGCCTTGGAGGTGCGCTGCCCGAAGAAGCGCGCATAATCTGGTGTGCGATGCCAAATCAAGCGAATGTGCAGGGAACAGGAGCAGTGTTGCTCCGACCGCTCCCGACCAGACTAGGCTATGCCAGGCAGAGTAAAGTTCATCTTCTATAGTGTTGTGCTGTGCCATGGCCTGGTAGCAGAACCGGTCACAGCTGAACGGGTCCTCCGCTATGCTGTGCAGCAGGAATCTATGCTTGGATGTCTTAGGCCCGGCATCTTCTGCTTCTGATGAGCTGGATTCGGAGCTGTGCGAAGGGCTGTCTTCTTGCATTTGTGCTGGGCTATGCGTACAAGGAGTAGCTTCTGGTTGCTGTGCTTTTGGGCAATGCTGTCCTGCCGGTGCCGCAGGTACGTCTGCAGGCGTTGTGGGTGTGCCATGCGTGGCGGCTGGAGTCTGTGCAGCCGGGAGAGTAGGCGAGGGCAACTGGGCCTGCCCGGCCAGTTCCAGCTGCGGTTTTCAGGAGCTAGGCGGCTCCTGGGGGTTGCGGTGCTGGCAGGCGGGATGACTTTTGCCGCAAGGCTCACCGTTGGGCATTTTGTATGCGCATGCGTGAAGATATTTGCACTGCGCGTTCTTGCAGTGCCCTTTATTGTAACGAATACAGAAGGTCTTGTTGCCGTGCTGTTGCACGAGGTCCGCTGTTTTGACCTCCTGTGCTGTGCCTTCGCCGGGAGTGCGCCTTTTGCCTGGCTGTGTGCCTTGCTTGCCTTTGCCCCCTTTCTCCTTGCCTTTGCCTTTGCCGTTGCCTTTGTTCGGTAGGCGAGGAGGTGGCTTTTGCGGGGGGGGAGGCGGCCGAGCACGCAGCTGGAGGAGGTTGCCAATGTCCGAGCGGATGCTTGTCATTTCATGCAGGGCGTCATCCAGTGTCCAACCGGCGCTGTGCAAAAGCGAGATCTCGCGCCACAGTTTGCGGTCAGCTGCGACAAGCTCTTGCGTGGTGACGGTGCGGAGCGATGCGTCGCTTGGCGATTGCGTCGCCAGATCAAGAATCTTTTTGTCATATGCCTTAAGGCGCTGCAGGTGCGCTCCTTTGCACAGTGCTATGGCGTTGCGGAATACTGTTTGAACTCTGCCAAGCCATGCGGCGCTAAGCCTGAGATGATCAACCGGCATTTCCGGTGTGTCATCAAACAGTGCTGTGCTGAGGAAGGCTGCTTCGGTGCGGATGGTGCGCGATGCTTTGCTCTCTATGAGCTCTTGATATTG